TCAATAAAATTAAGCACTTTTAATAATACAAGTCTATAAATAATACCAAAAAATTTATTTAGCTTATTTTATATATTTTAAATAACCCTAACCCTAGGTCTCTCTCTCTCTCCCCTAACCCTACCCCTAACCCTTCCTTATATAAAAAAAAAAAATCAAAAAGTGCTTCTCAAACAGTTTCATGCATGAGAAGTTATTTATGACTGGTTGTTCTCTATTAACAGGTGAGGCAAACAGATAATTTTAGACCGTGGTGTCACAGCATTTTATTGCTCAAAACAATTTACACAGTGTTACGTCTCACTGCATTTAACTTTGACAAACACCACAGTTGCACAGTTCTTGTCATTTCATAAATTATTTGAGGTGAGAACGTTTCACTATTCGACACACTGTGTTGGAGTGTGTGAGAGAATTCTGACACAGTGTGTAGAATTTTGTCACCAAAGCACATTTAGCTGCTGACCTCTGACCTCCGTCAGGTGCTGTAGAAGAAAGTCAAACTGAGCATGTGTGTCTGATAAACAGCTGCATGACTCTCTTTCTTTCTCTCTCTCTCTCTCTCTCTCTCTCTCTCTCTCTCTCTGTGTGTGTGTGTGTGTGTGTGTGTGTGTGTGTGTGTGTGTGTGTGTGTGTGTGTGTGTGTGTGTGTGTGTGTGTGTGTGTGTGTGTGTGTGTGTGTGTGTGTGTGTGTGTGTGTGTGTGTGTGTGTGTGTGTGTGTGTGTGAGTGAGTGTTGTATGAGCTTTTCAAATTGCCTAAACATTAGTGCAGTCATTAGACCTCAATATGTGTGTATACATGTTTATGTCAATGAAAAAAGAGATGGGAGAGGGGGGAATATGTGTTTAACCAAGCCTGATCTCAAGAGGAAACTTAACTGTTTGACATTTTGTCAGTTTAGTGGCAAAAGTGTATGAATGTATGATTTTATGGCTAAACCCCACCCTTAACACCCAACTGTCATTGCTGGATAAGCAAATCGTACTAGATTGTACAAATGAGATTGTATGAATCCATATAAATTAGCCACTGAATCATAAAGTTATGAATTTCTTTATCTTAGGATTAAAAGGTTCTATTTGATATTTTTTGTGAAAATTGAGTTGTTCACATATTTTTATTAAATTACTATATTATGACTACAACTTATTTACATTATGTGATGTTTTTTTATAAGTTGTTTACATTTTTAAGACTTTTTATTTAAAAACAAAAAATGTTTTATCTAAAAAGACAAACTCTAGCTTGGCTCTATAAGGTTCTTTTAATGAGCCATTCGGCATTTCGAGTGCATGCACGAGGAGGACCATCAGCTTTTCTTTGTTTGTTCACAAAATCAGAGTCGACTAAATAATGTCACACCATTGTCACACAAAATTGAGAAAAAACTTGAAACTGAAAAGATTTGTGTAGATGTGATTATTTAGAAGCTTTTTTGACATTGAGAGATGAAATGTTGAATTTTACATTGTTGAAAAGTTATTTAAAAATGTATATATTAAATGTGAAATATTTTTATTTGTGTGTATATGGTCAGTGTAACATTTTTCCGTGTTCGTTAAACTCATTTGCTCATTGTCTGTTTTCTTTTAAAGTCTTTATATTTGATAATAAGCCTTGAAGGGCAAAAACTATTTAATTTATGGGGCATATTATTTAATAAATATGACCATATTAATTACATAAAGTTAACATCTGCACTAGACAAATATTTAGCGCAGCCTTGTATGCTTAATTTGAAAAAGAAAAAAAAATCCTTCTAAAACATTAAAAAAATGTGATAGAAAGCAAAAAAGTGTAACTTCCTCAAACAACATATTGTTACAACAGCAATTTTATTTTTTACACTAAAATAATAAGCAGACTTTTTGTATTTCTTGAAAAGTAATGCTTTAGTGAATGATCTGCCAGTCCTTATAATTCCAAGTGGAAAATGACTGTTTAGAATCAGAAGGTTTTATCTACATTTGCCCTGCTTATTTTATCCCAAATTGCTAATTGTAAGTGAATTTTGATAATGTACATTCAGAGTACATTGACGGTGTCTATCATGTTAATGTATGAAAGAGAACTGTTTACACACATACTGTTTGCTATATGGAAGGCAAAAACTTTGAAGCTCAATATCTCAAATCATTCAAAACGCAGACAGAACCTTATAATTCCACTGTGTCGATTTGCTGAGATAGCATTAGTTTTTAACACTAGAACGGCCCAGGAAAAAAAAATCATAGGGGTCCTTCTGACCCGAAAGATTTACGGATCAATTACATAAATAAATATTCATTTTTTTTATGATAAACTGTATATAATTTTTTTTGTGTGTTTGTGTGTATATTTTGCACTTTATTTTATTAATTTACTACACAAACACAGAACTATGCCATCATTTGATTAATAGAAAATATTATTTGATTAACAATTAATAAAACTCTGACCTAAATGTAATATAAAAGGTTTCTGGATATTGGTTTATATTTTTTGTGAATAAAATACTGCCATCTGTAGTTAGAGAAAAAAATTAATTGTAATTTCCACATATATCCAGCAGGGGTCCATATTACATAACCATTCATTCACTCATTCATTTTCTTTTCGGCTTAGTCCCTTTATTAATTCGGGGTCACCACAGCGGAATGAACCGGCAACTGATCCAGCATGTTTTTACACAGCAGATCCCCTTCCAGCCGCAACTCATCACTGAGAAACAACCATACACACTCATTCACACTCATACACCATGGACAATATAGCCTACCCGATTTACCTGTACCACATGTCTTTGGACAGTGGGGGAAACCAGAGCACCCAGAGGAAACACAGGAACGCAGGAAGAGCATGCAAACTCCACACAAAAACGGCAACTGACCTAGCTGACTCTCGAACCAGCAACCTTCTTGCTGTGAGGCGACGGCATTACCTACTACGCCACTGCGTCGCCCCTCACCCATTTATTTTCAGGTTATATTTCTTGATGCTTTTGAAAACTCTTCCTCACAATTGATGATATATATGCCCCCACAGTTCAAAGACATGCAGTACAGGTGAATTACGTAGGCTAAATTGTCTGTAGTGTTTGAGTGTGTGCGAGAATGAGTGTGTGTGGATATTTCCCAGAGATGGGTTGTGGCTGGAAGGGCATCCGCTGCGTAGGTAATGCTGTGGCCTCACAGCAAGAAGGTTGCTGGGTTGCTGGTTTGATCCTCGGCTCAGTTGGTGTCTCTGGGTAGGCTAAATTGTCCGTAATGTGTGAATGTGTGTGTGATTCCCAGAGATGGGTTGCAGCTGGAAGGGCATACGCTGCATAAAAATGTCCTGGATAATTTGGCAGTTAATACTGCTGTGGTGCCCCCGGATTAATAAAGGGACTAAGCTGACAGGAAAATTAATGAATGAGTATTGCGATTGTGACTTTCGAAAGTATTTCATTGCTTTGTAAATGATTAATATTACCAGTTGTTGAGTCTCCTCATACAGTTTGATTGAGACATTTGAGACAGTTTTGATTGGACTCAGAAGCCGCTTCGCGTGACGTCAAACTTAACAGGGGATATATATAAAATAAAAAAAGAAAACATTCATTGGGGTCATGCTGACCCCATGGGCCGATTTAGGGTTAAGTTCAGTCCACCTTTTAAACCTTCAAAGCGCACTGAATTCCGCATTAGAGATGCAATGAAAGAGATCAGCTCCACACACTGTGAAGCTACAAAAACAGACATGCCAAAGCCCAACATTATAGAAATATAATGATAACAAATAAATAATCCAAATGGAAATAATCCAAATTAGCATAGCAGTGTATAAGTATGGGATGATAACCATGTTTAAGGTATACCGTGGAAAAAGCAAGGTTTTAAAACCGTTGAAATTTTCTACTATACCGTCCCTAAGGTTTGAGTAAGACTTTTTATTTACATTTTTTTGTTTGTTTTTTAGGACAACAGTATTTCCAGCAGAAAAGATCTCCAAAGATGAATTGTAAAAAAAAAAAAAGACTGTGTTTTGAAACAAATGAACACAGCAGAAGTCTTTTATTCATTTGAATTATTTAGTCTGATACATTTACTGCTTCAAAATAATTAAAATGTTTCCCAAAATACAATATATTGTGCACAAAGTGGAAAAAGTTTTTGTTTTTTACCTAACCATTTAAAAAGAATATTGTGGCGAGGGGGCGTGGCCGAGAGCCGTGGGAACGGGGTGAGGCCACCGAGTAAGTGCATACACCTGCGGTGTGCACCTGCCTCGGATCCCACGGAAGGAGCTCTGGACCATAAAAGGAGGACCGATGGCAGAGGAAGCCGAGAGAGGACCGGGCCCGGACATATTTTACTTTTGCTTTCAGTTTGCCGGCAGTCTAAGTGAGGAGCTGTCGTCATTGTTATTAATAAATATTTTAAAGCTCCGTCGGTTCTCCGCCTCCTTCTTCCCGGCGGCCAAAGGGCCGTAAACTTTATTACAAATATATTTTAGAGCAGTTATCACAATACTGTAATACCCTGAAACCTTGATACTTACATCCAAGGTTATCATACCGTCAGAATCTTATACTGACCCATGCCTAGTATTGTAGTAACAGTGTATGTAGACCTCTGGAGGTTAGAGATAGAAGTACAGGCTTATAAAGAAAACAATGCAAGAAAAACTAAATACCTTAGTATGACGCAAATCAGAAAAAGTTGGGACAGTATGTAAAATACAAATAAAATAATAGTGTTTTCTTAAATTTAGAAAGTCAAAGTAAAAAAGTAAACTTGGAGATCCCTACGTTTTTATTTGCATTTTCCATACTGTTCCAACTTTTTCTGATTAACAGTTGTATATACTTAGAAAATAAAATATTTGTACACTTAAAATCATGATTGTACACAAAATCAAAGAAGCTGATTGCAACTTCAATAAAAAAGTACAGTCACTTTAAATTCATAGCAAAATCTCATAGCAAAACACAAGCAGTGATCAATGCTGTGTGTTTGTGTGTGTGTTCATTTGCAGGTCAGCAGCAGCAGACTAAAGCAGAGCGATGCGAATCCAGCGGTGCTCAACCCATGGAGACACAGAGTGAAGAGAGACTGGATCATCCCACCAATCAGAGTATTAGAAAACAGCAAACATCTCCCTGAAGATCTGGTCCAGGTAAATAGACAGACCACCAAAAGTTCTGATGAGTCTTGATTTCTGCTGCGATGGTAGGGTCAGAATTTGGTGTCAACAACATGGATCCATCCTGCCTTGTATCAACGGTTCAGGCTGGTGGTGGTGGTGTAATGGTGTGGGGGATATTTTCTTGGCACACTTTGGGCCTATTAGTACCAATTAAGCATTGTGTCAATGCCACAGCCTACCAGAATTTTGTTGCTGACCATGTCCGTCCCTTTATGATCACAGTGGACCCATCTTCTGATGGCTACTTCCAGCAGGATAACACGCCATGTCATAAAGCGTGAATCATCTCAGACTGGTTTCTTGAACATGACAATGAGTTCACTGCACTTAAATGGCCTCCACAGTCACCAGATCTCAATCCAATAAAGTACCTTTGGGATGTGGTGGAATGAGAGATTCGCATCATTGATGTGCAGCCAACAAATCTGCAGCAACTGCGTGATGCTATCATGTCAATATGGACCAAAATCTCTGAGAAATTTTTTCAGTACCAAGTTAAATCTATACCATTAAGGATTTAGGCAGTTCTAAAGGCAAAAGGGGTCCAACCCTGTAGCTACTAGTAAGGTGTACCTAATAAAGTGGCGGGAGAGTGTGTTAAATGCTGGAAAACTATTGTTACGTGTTACAAGTTCTTTTAACAAATACAAAGATGCTCTAGTATTGATTTGGATCATAAATAACTGACTAAAAACAAGAAAGCTAATTTTTATTTTGCTACATTGAAATAAAAACATGACAGAGCATGACTTGTATTAAATGAGCAGGGCCTTTACATGGTAAATATCTGTTAAAACATGAGATATGTCAACCATATGGCTTTAACATGTTTCATGTGCGCCTCTTGCAGATTAAATCAGACAAGATTTTCACCGGTGAGGTGATCTACATGCTGGAGGGTCCCGGCGTTGATCAGGATCCCAAAGGCCTCTTTGAAATCGATGAAAAAACAGGATGGATCAAGAGCAAAGAGCCGCTGGACAGAGAAAAACACAAGAGTTTTAAAGTAAGCATGTTTAGGCCAAGTACAGAGAGAAAGACATTTCTGACAACTCAAGTAAAAAAAAAATTGTCAAATATGTCTATTGCATATATTACAAGAAATCCATTAGAATAAAATCCATCATTTACCACTCATTTTACTTCACAGGTGTCTTTGTATCAATGTTTGTTTAACAGTTCAAGTGCTATTTACATTAGATTCCAGATTTACAGTTGAAGTCAGAACTATTAGTACTACTGAATATTTTCCCTAAGTTCTGTTTAACAGAAAGAAGATTTTTTTTCAACACATGACTTTGTCAAGTAGAAAAAAATATTATAGGAAATACTGTGAAAAAAATCCTTGCTCTGTGAAACGTCATTTGTGATATATTTGAAAAATGTAAAAATTCACAAGAGGGGTTATTATTTCAACATGGGCTCATTTTAAAAATGCATATACATTTTTGGAGATCACAAATTATTTAGCCAGAAGTATGTATGGCTGTATTTCGTTTTTACAATGAACGATACGGGGCAATATGACGCCATTCCTTTTGCGCTTACCGATGTTACCAGTTTGTCTGTTAGTTTGCTACATTAGTCGGCGGACTTGTAATGTGGAGCGAAGTCCGACAAAGAACAGTTTTTGAAAACAGGTAAGACAAAACAAAACTAAAAAATAAAATAAGCAAGTAATAACAGGGTGAGAATGTGGTAAAATCAGAAAAGGGCTTTTCTTGTTCTGGATTCCCTTTAAAAACACTAAAGTTGGGTTTAAGAAAGTAAGTGGGCGGGCCAATTGGTGCTTTTTTAAAAACATTATTGGTTGGGTTAAGGGAAGGAGGAAGGTGGGTCAGTCGATCGGCCAGTCACTCAGTCGACAGCGGCCTCTGGTGGATTTATGTGAGAACAGCAGGCGCAAATGGCACTCGCAAGAGAAATTTGAGATCTGAAAATATGTACACAGCGCCCTCTAGTGGATTCACGAGAAAACAAAAACAGCGAAAAAAAAAAGTATTTGGCACTCTCCAGAAATGTATATAAGGGTATAAATAATTAGAATGAGCCCAAATTTAATAATTTTGACTTCAACTGTACAATGGAACCTAAGAGCTTACAGATAGACTGAATCAAGAAGTGTTTGTGATTAATTCAAATGCGTAATATCTGCAGCTTAAAGCCTTTGCACTTTCCCCAAGTGGAGAGAGACTGGAAAGTCCCACCACTATTGAGATCTACGTTCTAGATCAGAACGACAACCGGCCCGAGTTTACTCAAAAAGAGTTCATTGGTACCATTCCGGAATTTTCCGTTCCAGGTAAGATAATCAAAATCTCACAGCATTGTACATTGATAAATTATCAAATTATGAAAAGGTTAACACTTTATTTTAGGTCACAATTCATGCTAATAACTACTAGCTTATTGACTGTCTATTATTAAGATATGAACTGTTCATGAGTAGTTATAAGGTATGTATCTTTTTGCAAAACGAAATCTGATGTGTTAAAACAGCTCAGAAATCATCACAGCATAGTTATTAACCATGGTTGTGTGTTTGTGTGCGATCAGGAACATCAGTGATGCAGGTTACCGCGGTGGACTTTGATGACCCTTCAACTGATAACGCCGCTCTGAGTTACTCCATCATCGGGCAGGAGTGTGACCCTCCACACGGCATCAACAAAACCATGTTCGGCATCAACAACAAAACCGGAGTCATCTACATACGAGACGTGGGACTAGACAGAGATGTAGGTTATTTTAGCACAGGGCACAATATTGATTTCAAAGGCTTAGGTGTGACGGTGGTTACATGGGCTGGTGTGTTGTCAGGTGGTGCAGTCCTTCAGGCTGACTCTGCAGGTGGCTGACATGTCTGGAATGGGCTTAACCTCTAGCAGCCGCGCCATCATTCACATCTCTGACATTAACAACCACGCTCCCAAATTCCAGCCTACTACGGTATGTAACATCAAAAACCAATTGAAAACATGCACAATCCGAAGTGTTCACTTGATCGTTGTTGTTATTTTGAGCTCTTGCTCTAATTTTGTGTTTGCAGTACAACATGTATGCAATGGAGAACAAACTGATTGCGGAGGTTGGCAGGGTCAATGCGACAGATAAGGACCAGAGAGGTGGAGATAACTGGAGGATTAAGTATACCATTGTAAATCCTTCAGGACACTTTGCTATCCGCACAGACCCCGTTTCCAATCAAGGCATAATTTCTGTAGTTAAGGTGAGATTCCTGAGAAAATATTACTATGATTGGATTATAGAAGGAACAAGGTGCAAAACAAAACCAATGGACTTACTTTATATTTATGTTTATAATATATTGCAGAACACTTCTTGTGCTCTTGAGCTGTGATTCGGGTAGGGCTAGGGACAGGTTTGGTGGTATGGATAAGTTTAAGGGGGGTTAAGGTGTAAGGGATGGTCAGCATAATTACAAATGTAATTAATGCAGTTATTTATCCAGTCATACACTAAAAGAAATAATGGTATGAGAGCTGACCTTTTTAAAGGGTACACATTTTTAACTGAAGAGACACTTCCTTAAATGTACAAGAGTGCACCTTTGAGGTGCCAATATGGACACTTTAAAGAGCCCCTAATATGTATTTTAAAGGGTCCAACAACAGGCTGATATGCATGCAAGGTCAAAAAACACTTTTATTGTCTTGTAATATTTATTTTTTTATATATATTTATAAGCATTTATTTTTGCTTATATATCTCAATGACTCCCATATGATTCGTTCAACGATTCATTTGTTCCCAAACCCCGCCTTAGCCTCCTTAGTGCTAATCTGCACTGACTGGTCCGATGACCCAGTCTGTTGTGATTTGTCAACCAAGTTCAGCATGAGACAGAGAGAAATGCCCACCACAGCTTATCAACAATTTTGAAGTAGTCAAAGTGCAGAGAGTATGTATGAGCCAATGCAGGAGAGCATTAAAGCAATGCAGTTTAACACCAGCATATTGCTCTCTTCTTAACCATAAGTAAAAACAGTGACACACATTCAATATTATTTCACACAGTGGCAAAAGTTGACTATTCTGAAATTTGATTGCTGCACATGTGTAGGAACAGCTGACGGTGGCCAAAGACAAACAGCAGAGGATCGCAAGCTCACAAGTCTGTTTAAATCTGTTAACAAGGCCACGCATCCCGTTTTCAACGTGTCTTTAGACGCAATATGCGAATATAAAGAGTTAACTAGATACAGTACAAGCGGTTACAAGTACCAAAACACAAATAAATACATCCTTTGCAAGCTAGAGGATAACAAGGAGGCAACCACTTTAATTGCAGTTACTTACACTTATGAAATGGAGGAAGGAACTGATCCATCAATGTGTACTGTAAAGTTCTTGTCAAACTCTGACAAAGTCTCATACATCAATAGTCTTTTCTGATCCTTCCTTTAACAAATGGCTGACGAATCCCCCGTTGTAAGCATGTAGATTCCAGAAGCACTCGTCGGAAAAATTACTGTACACAGCACAAGGCTGGGGGGATAATGCTGAGGTATTTTTGCAAAAATAAACTTCAACCACTGACCGTTCACAGCCTCATCTTTGGGTAGGGAAAATAACATTAATTTTCCCCTCACACTTCAGAGCATAGCTTCTATGAGATTTGATTCAACCGGGATCTGAATCTGATACAGTGTTTTTCTTACTCTTTTTCTTTTTTACCGGGCTGGTGGTTTCAATGTTCCAGAGTCTGTGCACGCAACAAATGGATGGGGCTTGAGTTCCGTATCGACGTCACACTGACACGTCATTTTTAAAAATCTAAATTAGGGGCTCTTTATGTACAAATGTGTACCTTTTGAAAAAGTACAGGGGGGTACCAGTGACAGCTCTTGTACCTTTATTTCTGAGAGTATAAGTACAATGCAATGTATTTACACAATAAGTACACAACATATATTTACACAATAAGTACACAACATATATTTACACAATAAGTATGTTGTAACAAATGATTCATTTCAGTGTCTGATCATATTATTTAGGGCCACTTAGGGCGTACTCACACTATGCTATCTGAACCGTGCCCAGGCCCGTTTCCTGGATTGTTTGAGAAGTGTGAGTGCTCGGAATCGGGCTCAGGTGCAATTCATTTGGCCCACCCTGGCCCGGTTTGAAAAGGTGTGCCAGAGCGCGGTTCACTTGGGCTCCCGAAATTGAAGACGAGAAGTGACTTTTAAGGGATTGTTTCATATAGATTTATTAATCATTCTTACTGTTCAATGAATGCAAACTGTCGTAGATTATTAAAGACTCAAACCCCTCACTGCACGACAGCTGCACCTTTAGTAAACCTCCTAATACCTGCAGCATGAGGACTTCATATTGTTAGAGAGCGTCAAAAGTGGCTGATCTGTCCTGTGAAATATTTGACTGAGTGTCACTGCATATCAAACAACTAAAATGATATAACTACAGTAATCTCCACTGTTCTGAGTGAGCGTGCTTCTTACTGAACAGCGCATCATTGATGACGTAATCGTTCTCAGGCCCAAATGCGACGTGAGTGCGGGTCGTGTGCTTCTACCCGATTTAAGGCAACTGTGCATAGTGTGAGTACACCCTTTATATAAAGTAGGAACAAACCCAATATTGGACCATTTTATTTTTTACTGATGTCATCAGTTGAATCAGAGTCTTTTATGTGAAATAGTGTTAGTTTAACCAGAAATGAAAATGGTGTTATCAATTACTCACCCTGATGTCGTTCCAAACCCCTGAGATCTTTGTTCGTCTTTGGAACACAAATTTAGATATTTTAGGTGAAATTTGAGAGTTCCCTCTTCCTTTATAGACAGCTAGGTTCAAAAGTGCTGAAAAATAGCAAAAACATCCAGAAAACCGTCAGTGGTTTAATCGGAAATAGACCAAAACATAGGCAAGGTAATATGTCACTTACTTACCTTCAGCTTATTCCCTGCATAAACTGTCAATTAGTCTGGCATATGTTTTACACATCGGATAATCTTCCTGCTGCAACACAATCTCCTACAGACTCTGGCCAATTTAGTTTATACAACACACCAACGGCATACCATTGGACTGTTAGGGAAACCGGAGCACCCAAAAGGAAACTTGAACCACTGACCTTCTTGCTGTGAGGCAACCATGCTAACAACTTTCCATCCATGTTCTACAACAATTTATTATTTTTGCAAAAACTGTAGAAATGCCGAATGATGGTAGAGAAAGTCTACTGTTCACAAGAATAAAAAAAAATTCAGGATCTGAGGTTCTATATGAATTCTTTACATCTCCTTTTTACCAATTCAAGAAAAGTGTTCTTTTATGTGTCCTATTTATTCATTACATACTACATTTCTAAAACAAATTCTCTACTCCTTTTTTACTTCCAGTCACTAGACTATGAATACCAAGCAGAGTACAAGCTCATTGTAAAAGCGGAGAATGAAGTCAAACTTAAATCCCCTTACGAGCAAATACACAGTGCAACAGTCACCGTCAGAGTGATGAATGAAAACGAGGCTCCGATCTTCTATAAAAACCCGATTAAAGTCACTGTTCCTGAGTCTGTTGTTCCCGGCACAATCCTGGTCTCTGATATCGCTCATGATCCAGATCATGCCAAGCTAAGGTGAGGCGCATTTATCTGAAACATTTTATGAAGCCATAAAGGAAATGTTGATGTTTGTGTATCCTTGTTAAAAAGAATATACAATCCTAACATACATCAAATGTTGTGTGTTTTTGTTCAGGTTTGAAATCATTCAGGATCCTGATGAGTGGCTTGCTATTGACCATTCAACTGGACAAATCATGGCCAAAAAAAACTTCAAAATACGGTCTCCTTTTGTCAGGAACAACATATATTCGGCTGTTGTGAAAGTCACAGATCAAGGTGAGCAACTTGGACCTGAAAACCAAAATGATCTAAGCTAAATAAAGCAACTGACAGACTACACTGTCACAAAATGATCAGTGTGGCTTTGTTTGGATAAAAAAGTGATCAGTCATCTTTCCCCAGATGCTGATGGCATCTCTGCAACAGCTACCCTGGAGGTGAATCTATGGGAGACCAATGATTATCCACCGTTGCTGATACCCCAGAGTGGGACTGTGTGCAGTGACCGGGATCCAGATAAACTGGGCCTACTGCTTAGTGCCTTGGATGAAGACATGTCCCCGCAAGCTGACCCCTTTACTTTTAACATTGCTGATCAAAATATGGCTGCCAACTGGACTATTATAACTCTCAATGGTAAAACATTTAAACCACAAACAAATTATATGAATGAAAACAGCATGCTCTGATGGTTTTCAATATACCAATTTCGGGTCTTTTCTAATAACTTGATGAGTAGATTCAAAAGTCTGACATAAATTGAGCAGAGCTTGAGGTTATCCAAGACAAGGGTTGGTAACCACTGGCTTAGGTTAGTGTGAAAGTTCATGCTGAGCTTGATTTTTTCTGGTAATATTGATGGTGCATCATTATAGTCATAATTAGATGATGAAGCCAATTGATCAGCATGGGTGTTCTGGTTGTACTGGTTAATCGAGAAAGTCTTGATTGACCCTTTATTGGGAATAGTAACTGTCTGTCTGTGTTGGAACATTTGTTCATAAGTTATCATTGAAGAGAATTAACTTAGATTAAATTAACAAAAAAATATTGGTCAGAAAATAGATACTTAGAGTTCAAGTTAAAGGGTTAAGGTAGTCAAGAATCCAAAAGCAGATACACACTGTGTTAAGCTGTTTATAGACATGCTTGTTGTGCAAGATATTGTGCTAAAGAGGTATTTAAGGTTGAAAACGTAAGTAGTGCAAGTAGTGATTTTTGGTACATTTATAAGTAAACAATATTTACCTTATTGAGTACTTCTGTAATGTGAAGTGGACACTGAGAAAGGGGGTGCAGATCCAAATACACGTTTATTGAAAATGGTCAGGCAAGCAGCTGTTACAATCAGGAGCAAACAGATGTACACAAAGAATCCAGATTTGTGGTTAAATAACAGGCAATATGTCAATACAGGCAAGCAGCATGCAACATAAACAAACAAACAAAATAAAGCAAAGATCGGTACACAGCAGGACAAGGCAAGGAAAATGCGTTGTAATGTTAGACAGATAAACAAGACTCAGCCACAATGTGTGCGTGTGTGCTGTCTTAGTCCTTGTAATCAGTCTTTAACAATTCTCCGGCTGTGTGTTTGCAATCAGTCAGGATCAGGAACCGCTGTGTGTGTGGTGTATGACTGGATCTTGTAGTCCATGACATGGCTGATTAGTAGTCCGTTAGCTATCCGTGTGTATACCAGTGATCGGCACAGGCTGAATCGCTGGTGACCGTGACACCTTGTAAGATGGAGTGTAAGAAACGTGTCCGGTGGACGTACAGTTTTATTTCACATAGCCATTTTTTGAACATGAGTAAACTTGGACATTGAGAGAAAAAGTTGAGAACCATTGTTTTAGAACAGGGGTCACTAAACTTGATCATGGAGCACCGATGTCCTGCAGATATTAACTCAACACACTTGTCTGGCAGTTTCAAGTATTCCTAGTAATGCCGAGGTCACACTAGAGTTTTGAGCTTGTGAAATTCTGTCGTATGATGCTGTGAATAGGGGCAGGATTAAACAAGACGATCAGAAATACAAAAAATGATTAGTCCATACTTTAAATTTCTGTACAGAGAGGTCATGATTTGACCTTAGATTGGTCTTATGCAGTCACATGCAGGTCAGAGTTCACCAAGCTTGAACTTTGCAACATAGCGAGCTGTGAAACTTGTTGCATGAGCTTGCGTTTCCGGACTGCAGTATTTGCCTGCGAATGAATGGAAGTCTATGGGGAGAAAAGTGCAGTGTGACCACGGCTTAAGACCTTTATGATCTTGTTCAGGTGTGTTTGATTAAGGTTGCAAATAAATTCTGCAGGACACCAGCCCTCCAAGACAGAGTATGGGGACAGCTATCATAGAGTAGTGTCCTTCTAAAGTAAAGTGCTTAACTCTGTCTATTTCGAAGGGTTCTTCGAAATAAAAGAATTTACTGATAGTGGTACTGGTAGACACTTTGCGGCCCTATGATCCTTTGTGGAGCGAAGTTGTTTGGTATCACACACAGTACTGAATTTGGAAGGCCTCCTTCCTATGCCATAATTTAGGGATGACCATCTCCCTAGAGATTTACCTTCTTGCAGATTTGAGATGCAACTAATATTAAACACCTGCTTGTAATTATCAAGTTCTGTTCAGGTCCTAATTAATTGGTTCAGGTAGTTTGATCAGGGTTGGAGCTGAACTCTGCAAGAAGGTAGATCTCCAGGAACAAGATTGAGCACCCCTGCCTTAATGCTTTAGAACAAGGGTCTTAAACTCAATTCCTGGAGGGTTGCAGCTCTTCACAGTTTTGCACCAACCCCTTCAAACACAGCTGATACAAGCTGTTCAAAGAGTCTCAAACACCTTGATTAGTTGGATCAGCTGTGTTTGATTAGGGTTGGAGCAAAACTGTGCTTTGTGCCCTCCAGAAATCCAATTTGAGACCCATGATATAAAAGCTGTCACTCCATAGGTTAAACCATATCGAAGGGATTAGGGCATGGGTCTCAAACTCAATTCCTGGAGAGCTGCAGCTCTGCAGTTTTGCTCCATACCTAATCAAACACAGCTGATCCAACTAACCAAGGTGTTCAAGACTACTAAACACTGTTAAACAGGTGTGATTCAGAAATGATTGGAACTAAAATCTGCAGAGCTGCGGCCCTCCAGGAATTGAGTTTGAGACCCATGCTTCAAAAGCTGTCACTCATAGGGTAAACCATATCGAAGGGATTAGGGCATGAGTCTCAAACTCTAATCCTGGAGAGCTGCAGGAGAGCCTTCCAGGATTTGAGTTTGAGACCCCTGGATAAGAGCATAAGGATAAGCTCTCCTGAATGGAATTCAGTGTCTGGTTCTTGGAAAGTTAGGACCAGTCTTAATCAAACTCAACTCCTCATAATTTTTAAATAATTAAAAACACCTTGACTATCTTGTTCTTGTATGTTTGATGTTGGTTGGAGTAAAGTTGTGTAGAGAAGTGGGCTACTATTCTTTAGTTCTCACCATAATCAAAAGCACCCAAAGAACCTAATTAAGGTGTTCAGGGTGTTCACAATTTAAAAAGTGGGATGCAGCAGGAGTAGCCTTCCAAGAACAGTATTGTCTACCTCTGCATAAGAAAGTTGGTATTGCTTACTTTCTAAGACCTTTTAAGTTTCTTTTCACTTCTGTTAACAGAGACACATGCAGTTCTCCAGCCTTTGGTAGACATAGAGAGAGGAGAATTCTCTATTCCTGTGGTTGTATCAGACTCAGGTTCCCCTTCCCTGTACTCCAGTGCTCTGGTCAACGTAACTGTGTGTCCCTGTGACAGTTTTGGTGACTGCAAGAGCATCACGGCAGCCATCTTTGGCTCCAAAATTGGAATAAGCTTCATTGCCCTTATGATTATAATAGGATGCATTGCTCTTCTGTTGGGTAAGTAGACAACAAATAAAATTAAACACACACTAATACACACATTTACACAACATGCCGTTTATTTAAAGTATCACATAAAGCACAGATTGTGCTTGATTTTTACTATAAAACTTGCTTTCCTCAGTTCTTCTTCTTCTCACTGTGGCTGTGAGGAGTTGCACAAGTCAGAACATTAGAAAAGGAGGAGGTCTGCTGGTCGGAGGATCTGACGATGACATCCGAGACAACGTCTTTCATTATGATGAGCAGGGAGGTGGAGAAGAGGATGAGGTAAGAGCATTGACACTACATTTAATAAAGCTATGGTAAAAAAATAAATAAAAAATTGAGAAATGTATTTGCAACAAATCCATGAAAGGAGCATTAAACATAGCTCCTGTCTGACTCAAAGCGTTAAATTTATCCTAGGGATTTCCTCCGGATGACATGTAGATCCTACTACAGCCTGATAGACTTGACAGATGTTGAAATTTTTAGCCCCCCTGTGAATTTGCTTGTCTGTTCCACATGTTTCTCAAATGTTGTATAGCTAAGCAAATATTTTTTTTACAGTATTTCCTATAATATTTTTTCTTTTGTAGAAAGTTTTTTTTGTTTTATTTCGGCGAGAACAAAAACAGTTTTTATTTCTATAACTGTTTTAAGGTCAGTATTATTAGCCCTCTTAAGCATATTTTTCGATTGTCAACCGAACAAACCATCATTATAAAATGATTTGCTTTATTACCCTTACTTGCTTAATTACTCTAGTTAAGCCTTTAAATTGCACTTCAGGCTGAATACGAGTATCTTGAAAAATATCAAAATATGTTATCATGGCAAAGATAAAAGAAATCAGTTATTATAAATGATTTATCAATATTATTATGTTTTAATGTGCTGAAAAAAAATCTGTCACACTTTACAATAGTTCATTAGTTAATGTTAATTAATGCATTTACTGAGATGAACAAACAATGAACAATACATTTACTACTGTATTTGTTCATGTTAGTTAACCTTAGTTAATGAGAGTGCAGTAGTTTATTGTTAGTTCATGTTAACTCAGTGCATTAACTAATGTTAACAAGCATGGACTTGAATGTTAATAATGCATTAGTAAATGTTCAATTATGATTAATAAATGCTGTACATGTGTTGTTCATGATTAGTTCAAGTTAGTAAATGCATTAACTAATGAACCTTATTGTAAAGTGTTACCAAAAAATCTTATCTCTTTTAAACAGAAAATGGTTAAAAAAAAAAACATTATATATGGCAAATAACATATATAAATCCTAATGTTTAACATTTTGAATATTGGGGTTGGTGGTTTAATTTTTGCTTTGAGGTGAAATGTGTTGGAAACACTTAAAGCTGTTTCTGTCCAACAGGAGGCATTTAACATTGATTTTCTGAGGAGCCCCAGTGACATGCTTCCAGCCCCAGCTTCATTTTTCCCACAAGACTGTGGTTTGCCCAGAGGAAAACAACCTCTAAGGAAAGATGCACCCCATTACCTGCCTTCTCCTACATATCCACGCAAACCCCCTGGAGACCCAACCGACATAGAAGATTTCATCAATGTTGTAAGCAAAGCTTCTTAATAAGAAATCATGTTATACTTGTTGTTGTTGTTGTAAGCATGTTAACTTTTAATTTAATCAGGATTTTTTTTTTTCAATAAATAATATTTCAAATGATGGAATGCTGAGATTATGCCAATCATAAACCAAACTGCTTTACATACATTCATAGTCCGGCAAATATTTGATATTTATTGTTACCTTTTATCATTTGTTATTTATCATTCCGTAGTGCTGTTTTAACTGTGCTGGAACCTCTAAAAAGAAGTGTGACTGGCTAAATCAGTAAATACCGTACTATGTAAAGGGACAGTACATGCAAAAATGTACAAAAAAAAAAAAAGCTAAATATTTTATAACTAACTATTTACTTACACTTAAGTGGCTCCAAACCTTAAGGGAATTTCTTTTTTTCATAGAACACAAAAGAAAATATCATGAAGAAAGCTGAAAACCTGTAATCAATGACTTCCATAAAGAAGAAAAATAGGTAACACTTTATAATAACTACACACTATAAATCATTTATTAAGCATTAGCAAATAATGAATTCATTATCTGGTAAGCATTAACTCTACATTAATAAGTGTTAGTAAGCAGTTTATAACTGCAGCTACAAGTGTTCTATTTTTGACTTACAAACATATTTATAATGTGCTTTAATAATTGTATTTTTATTAACTTTGTTAATGATTTATTTTCCATTACTTAAGTATTGCATTATTTACAAACCATTTGTATTTATGAGTTGTTGAGGGTTTTTAGGATCATTCAGAATGAGTTAGTAAATGATTAATAAACTATTGAAATCAACATTTATATCTTATTATTCAGGCATTTATTAATGATTACTATCTATGTTATTAAATGCTTTTTTTTTAACTCAACTTCATTCAGTTTTGTGACCTAATCTAAAGTGAGGACTATTTATGTTTTATAAATCCCTTATAAATGACAAATAAAGGCTCAGTTACATTCTAAACAGGAAAAACGACAATATTCATTCCTATTCATTTAAAGATGCACAAATGAAACTGTACTTCAAATGAAAAATAAATCTTTGCCACCTTATCTAAAATAAAATCACTGTAGAGTTTAAACATTGCATCTTATTATATTGTTCAATTATTATATTGTTGTTGTTATTTTATCCAGTTTTATGTCGTATTTTGACACTCCTGTTATTTGGCAATGATTAAACTTTACAGTAATTTTACTTTTTTTTTTTGCAAAATATTGCAAATATTATTGTTCATTTGATTCTGAGCCTTTATTTTGTCATTTATAAGGGATTTATAAAGCATGAATAGTCCTCACTTTAGATTAGGTCACAAAACTGCGTAAAGTTGAGTTAATAAAGCATTTATTAACATATTAGTTAACTATTAGTATATGCCTCAATAATAAGACATACAAATGTTGATTTCAATAGTTTATTAATCATTTAATAACCCATTCTGAATTATCCTAAAACCCTCAACTACTCTTAAATACAAATGGTTTGTAAATAATGCAATACTTAATATAGTTAAGTAAGTATGAAAGTACAATTAAGTATGAAAATACAATTATTAAACGCATTATATAGGTGCGTATAATTTAAGAATAGAGCATTTGTAGCTGCAGTTATAAACTGCTTATTAACGTTTATTAATGTAGAGTTAATGCTTAACAAATAATGAATTCACTAGATGCTAATGCTTAGTCAATGATTCATAGTGTGTAGTTATTATAAAGTGTTACCGAAAAATAAATAAATGGTTACAGGTTTCATAATTACGAAACATGATTACAAGTCGCTCGGAGTGATTACAAGTTAAAAACACACAATTAAACACATATTTTACAAACAACACAAATTTAGGCAACAATTGTAATCACACGTACATGTTATGATCCGGAGGAAGAAGAAACCAGACCATATTAACTGTAACAGTTACTGTTGAAGTCTGACAAAGTCCCATACATAATAGTCTCTGCTTCTTCCTCTAAGAGCAAATGGCCAACGACTCCCACATTGCAGCGTAGGTTATTGTATCAAAAATCTGAATAATGACAGGACAAACACAGAACTAGGTTAGCTATGCTGTGGTATTGTTGTAAAAATGAACTTTAACCATTTATTCCCCTCAGATGAATCTGTTAGTGATCCCTATCTTTCTTTCATGATCAGTCCCGTGATCCTCCACGCTTTGCTAGTGTCTGAAGGGAAAGCGTGTTACATATTTGATGATGTATCGCATCGGCGCCGAGGAGTTCAGGCAAAAGACCTAAACTCAACACGATTAATTTATTTGACTCTGAGTCGACTATTTCATTAAAGAATCAATAGCTTTAAACAGTCCACTTTCAGATTTAAACCTCAGCTGGATGTTTTCATGCACTTAGAGCTGTTACACTGTGCATGGAAGGCTATTTTCAAAAACCCTTTATTGGGGCTCTTTAAGGTGACATAGTTACAGTGTAAGTATTTATTTAACTACTTAGTAATATAAATGTATGTACCTACTATATGGTGGTGGTTAGAACGTGAGTTAAGATTAGGGTTAGTTACATGGAATTACAAATAATTCATTGTAAATACTATGGTAAGTGCATGGAATGACCACTCAAAAAAAATCTGGCTGTTACTTATTTAAAAAAGCTGAATCAACAAAATTCTTGAGTTTTGTTGAGATAACACAATTGTGTTATGTTCAATTCACTTAAATTTGTAAAAAACATTTAAGTTAACTATATCAATTTGTGTTGGGACAACCTAAAGGAATTGTGTGGAACCCAGCATTTCTTACACAGTTTCAAGAGTTCAGATGCAAAAACCTCTGTCTGAAATGTTCTTCTAAAAATAAGCCTTTTTTTCAGGCTCCTGTATGTAGGATCAGTAGTTTCACTTTTAGAGTAAAGAATAGCTTCTCTTCATTCTCTCACTGAAGGATTTTGCATCTGAACTCTTCATTTGAGCTTGTTTTGTGCTTCCCCTAAACAGGGCCTGGACGCTGCTGACAATGACCCGAATGTCCCACCATACGACACAGCTCTGATTTATGACTATGAGGGTGACGGGTCAGTAGCAGGCAGCCTGAGCTCCATCGCTTCCACAGGCTCAGATGGAGACCAGGACTACGACTACCTCAACGACTGGGGCCCGCGCTTTAAAAAACTGGCCAACATGTACGACCCACGTTAGACGCAAGACCCGTTCAGATACTCTCCTGCTCGCAAGTCCTTCAAAACTTAGGATGAGGAGAGCTTTTACATAATTGATATTATAGAAAACAGAAGGGCTTTCTCTGTTCCCTAGTGATACGGTTTTGCTAAAGGTCATCGGTGTCAAAAAGAGAGACCACAAACACATTGTCTCTTTCCCTTTCCTTCATGGATCAGTGAACTGTTTCCACATGCTGATGTGACAGGTGCTTGCTGTGGGCCGTGAAAGCACCAACTGGAGGAAAGAAGTGTGCGTTATTGAATACTGATTAGTTATGGTGCAAAAAGACATGCCTTGTTTGTAAAAAAAAAAAAAAAGCGTTGCATTGTTGAGGGATTATTTTAGCTGATGACCAATACATGAGGGATAAACGAAAAGCAAATTTCAGCAAAATTGATGTACTTATTCAGGCATATCCATGATTTTAAACCCATATGACTTTCTATAATCCTTAAAACCAGTTTTATATTTTGCTAAATTTCAGAGCTGTTCTTCTTTATAACAAATTGTGATAAGTGTTCATATATGATGCATCCAGAACCATAGAGACGAGTTTGTTGTTGGAGACACCAAAGCACTTTGGGTTTATTAATTCAACACTAAAAAGTGGAAACCTACAATTGTTGATTCAAATTTAAGAGTGATTTCTGTATGATTTAAATATTTAAAATGTATCTATATGCAGCTATGGGACATAAATGAAACCACTTGGAAATACAAGGAGTAAAAAACATTATCATTTAGAGCAGTGTTTCTAAACCATGTTCCTGGAGGACCACCAGCTCTGCACATTTTCCATGTCTCCTTAAACAAGCACACCTGATTCAGATCATCGGCTCATTAGCAGAGACTGAAATCACCTGTAATGAGTGTTACAGACAAAAGAGACATCCAAAACATGCAGAGCGGGTGGTCCTCCAGGAACGTGGTTGAGAAACACTGATTTAGAGTATCCAGTTAGCGATAACAGCCTAGTGGTTAGGTGCACCAACATATAGCACCAAGTTCGATTCCCAGCTCAAGGTCCTAAGCCGATCCTTCCCCTCTTTTTGCTTCCAATGCTTCGCTGTCTGTCCTCTAGTCCTTTCACAATAAGAGGTGAAAAAACCCTAAAAAAATAATGATAGTTTCTTGAAGGTAAAACTTGGCATTGTATGCTCTAAAAATAAATTTTAAAATGTCTAAAAGCATTGGATCAATGGTCATTTTATGATGCCAATGACAATGATCTTGATTTGATTTTTGAAGGCAATGCCATTGGGTCAAAACTTCTGTATCCATATACACTCAAGAAATTACTTATGTCATTTCAAAACCAGTAAGCCTTTGTCCATGGGACATATGTCAACATACTTTTATTAAAGTCTGTAAGGTTTCTGTCCTTCCCGAGAAAGTCCATTCACCCAAAATGCAAGCACTTGAGAGGAAAAGCAAGCACAAAGGAAATTATTAATAATAATTAAAAAAATAATAATTGAATAAAATTCAATAAATAGAATTTAGAATTAATAAAAAATAAAAAAATATTAATAAAACAATTATATAATATAACTATAAACGTATAATATAAAATAGATCTTTACAAACTGAACAATTTAATCCTCAAAATCTTTTAAGATAAAAGATAAAATAATAATTTCACATATCCTTTGGCTTAAAAAAATTCCACAATTTAGTTTTTCAACATTTTGTTTTTGTTTTTAATTTTACAGCATGTCCACTGTAGTGCACCACAGGACCATTTTAGTCCGAAACGACCACCACTCAGACAACAAAACTGTTCAAAATATGCTTGTAAAGGGATATTAATCCAATATTAATGTAACAAAAACAAAACAAAAGCTATTTTTTTTCCTTTTGAATTAAAATTCTTGAAACTATTTAGTCTGAAAGAGAGATGAACTAAAAAAAAAAAAAAAAAAGAATTGATGTTTATCCAAAACAAATTTTACATAAAGCAATTTAAAACTGGTTGTCATTCTCTAATTGTCTCTAATTCTCTAATCGTCTGATTGTCACACTCTAAATCAGAGTCTCCTTCAGCTATTTTATGAAGAATCCTCTCTGCTTCAGTTCTGCCTCCTACAACATGCAGTCATTAATTACATTAAGATGGTCCTGGTAACCACTATAGTTGTCATTTAAAAAAGGATGATATTTTGAAACACAAACAAGTTAACAGCTTTGAAAGCTAACTGTATTGCTCCTGACACTTTAATAAAAATATATATGTAATAATAACAGTAAAAAAAAACATTTAAAAAGCTTAATTTTACATACCTTTAAATGTGCTTTATTTGTATGTCGGCCATTTTGGATGCAGTGTAAGAAGTTGTTTCTAGCATGTCAGCCAATCAAATGACATACCACTAGAAAACCCAGGATGTCCTCTGAACAGTACAACAGGACTTGACAGAGTAGCTCAAAAAATTCAAAGAAAATTCATGAAAACTCAATGTCCACTACAGAGGACACATGTCAACGGGTGGGGTCTCAGAAGAATATGACATCACTAATTACCAAACAATGTTCACAGCATTCTGATGATTAGGTCACATTAGCTCAAGGCTACTTACCTTGTCTCTCCAAGATTTTGCGAATCTAATGATTATTGTTCAAAAAATAAAAATAAAATAAAAACGTACACAATTTGTTTGTATTTTCAAGGCAGATCTCACATTGTATTGTCTGAAATGTAGATAATTTGTACAAAAATAATAGAATTTTATTCATGCAAAAAAAACAACTTATTTTTAAAAGTACATGTGCCTCCAAACCCCACACCTAAACCCAATCCTCAGTGGGAAATGAGCAAATTATGCTAAAATATTCAAATGAGACCGTATAAATTTATGAGAAATAACTACTTAATCAGGCGATGCAGTAAGAAGTGCTGTCGCCTCACAGGAAGAAGGTCGCTGGTTCAAACCTCGGCTGGGTCAGTTGGCGCTTCTGTATAGAGTTTGCATGTTCTCCCTGCGTTTGCGTGGGTTTCCTCCGGGTGCTCCGGTTTACCCCACAGTCCAAAGATATGTGGTACAGGTGAATTGGGTAGGCTAAATTGGCCGTAGTGTATGTATGTGTGTGAATGAGTGTGTATGGGTTTCCCAGTAATGGGTTGCGGCTGGAAGGGCATCCGCTGCGTAAAACAAATGCTGGATAAATTGGTGGATAATTCCATTGTGGCGAAACCCAGATTAATAAAGCGACTAAGCCGAAAAGAAAATAAATGACTGAAAGAACTACTTAATCAAAAAGCCTTGTGATTGTGTTGATTTTTTTTTACAGGAAACACAAGAATTAAAGCAAATAATGGCACATGTTTTGAACAACCAGTCATTTTAGGCAAAAAATAATTATAAAAAATATCTGCTTAGCGTGCGATAACAAAAGAGGGTCATTTTGTGTCACGACGCCAGCATGTCTGAAACTCCATAAGCACCAATGAAGTTTGTTCTCACATGACAAGCAGGTAGGCTTAGTTTATATTTGCTAAAACAGAAAAGATTAGATATTATTAAATGTATTTTGGGTGAACAGATTGGCAATGGAGGGTTGTTGGTGGTTCATTTCACTGTGGCAACCTTTGATGAATAAAGGGACTAAGCAGAAGGAAAATTAATGAATGAATGATGTATCTTTTATATATATATTTACATATAAAATCAAACCCTTATAAATAATTAAATTCTAAATTCTTGTTTGCTGTGCATCTGCCACGTCTTTGTGTATTGCAAACAAGCAATAATAGACTAGATAAATTGTGGATGTGTTATGTAGTCTACTTTTGTGTTGATTTTCATTTGACTTTTTGAAAACCTCTTTGATATGCCCTTGATGTGAGGAGAAGAACAGCTTGGAAATTCTGCTACTCATTTCCTAGTGTGTTTTAATGGAAGAAAATCATATCACTTTTTTTTTAACTCACTGATTATTCAGGAATGTTTATATTTTAGATTATTTGATATAATTACTATAGTTTTGATCGTTATATATATATATATATATATATATATATATATATATGACTAGTATATTGTGTAATATATTTGCTTGTATTTTTGTTTAAATTGCAATTTAACCTCCAAAGTAAACCCAAGACATTAAAGGAGCCTTAATTTTAGTATTAATTTTATATTCAGAATATGATCAGTATGTCAAACGTGTGGTGCTTATAAATGTATATATACTGTATGTTTTGCCTTCCTCTGGAAGGTTTTTCATAATGCCTGTTATGATTATGTGTTTCAATATTGAGCTTCATGGTTCAGTTTTTAATATTTATTTCATAAGAATTTGAGAAATGTTGTATTGTCTTTACAGTTTTAAATAAAATAATAAAATGGTTCCACTGTGTAGCTTAATAGATGGTGATTCAGTTTGTAGTAATTGTTTTGTAATGAAATATGGGTATCCCAAGGCATAGTAAAATAATAAGTGATCAATATATGGAAAGGACATACCGTGAACCTCAGACACCATTGTTTACTCGTTATCATGTAAATTCCACAAGTGTAAAACCACAGCTGGCCAATCAGAAGACAAAACAAACTGTGACGAGACTCACAGGCCATGCCTTTTCCATTTGCATGTATGCCTACTTTAGGTCATTCATCCGGACCTGACGTCATCAAGAGATCACAGACTCATATGTAACTCTAAGATCATTAATATGGACGCCTCAGACTGCATTTGATAAGTAACAACAGTTTCTAGTGAGAAAACAATGGTAGTTTCTCTCCATTAGTTATTTAAAGCCTATATTTAACTTACTAAGTATGTGGGACTTTTATTTTGAAAATGCAACTCCAGATTGTTAACTGTGTGTTATTTGGCAACACTAGGCATGTTTAAACTTGGGTCAGGATCCAAAATGCAAGATTTACTGATTATGTGTTTATTCAGCTATAAGGTGTTTAATTGTATGCTTTGTTAATTGATTGTGTTTATAGAAAAATTTGATGAGTATGTTTTAACAAACACATGTAGACTGCTGAATCATGTCAGATCACTTAGCTCAACTGTCTGGTCTTTTTTCTTCTAGTCTGTTTTCTTTGATATTATAGCTTTAAAATACAACACTATACATCTCTATCAGTCTTTTTTTATCAAGTTTAATTATAGTTTAGCCTTTATCCACAACAGATCATACTTTGGTTTTGGGGATCTTTGACAACAGGCTGATATGCATGCAAGGTCAAAAAACACTTTCATTGTCTAATAATGTGCATTTATTTTTACCTACTTATCCCAACGACTCCCATATGATAATTTGTCTTTGTGTCATGATCAGTACCATGATCTCCCACTCTCCGCTAGTGTTTGAAGTCACATTTTATCTGATCCAGCACTTCATATTTGGTGATGTGTCGATATCAATGCGTTCAGGCAAAAAATCCAAACCCAACACAATTAATTTATTCAACTCTGAGTCGACTGAATAGAATCAATAGTTTTAAACACAGTGCACTTTCAGATTTAAACCTTAGCTGGATGTTTTCATTCACCTAGTGCTGTTACACACTGCGTAGAAGACAAAACAGAATTATTACTTATTGGGCCTAAAACCTGTACGCAGCAGATCTCACAACTCAACCTGCAATTAGAGGGATACAAAGTTAGCGTTAGCTACACAATAAAAAGATCTGGGTGTTATATTAGACAGTAATTTAACTTTTAAAAATCATATTTCCCATGTCACAAAAACTGCCTTTTTTCATCTGAGAAATATCGCTAAATTATATGCTATCCATCTCAAATGCAGAAAAGCTATGCTTTTGTGACTTCTAGGCTGGATTACTGTAATGCTGTTTGCTGACTGCCCAGCATCCTCTTTTAACAAAGTTGAGTTGGTACAAAATGCAGCTGCCAGAGTTATCAGGTCTAGAAAATATGATAATTTCACCCCAATTTTATCCTCCTTACACTGGCTGCCCGTTAAGTTTCGTATTGATTTTAAAATATTGCTTCTTACCTATAAAGCTTCAAATAATCTAGCTCCTGTTTATCTAACCAACCTTCTGTCTCGCTACAATCCAACCAGCTCTTTAAGATCTCAAAACTAAGGGCTTCAGGTAGTACCTAAAATAGCAAAGTCGAGTAAAGAAGGTCAAGCCTTCTCATTTATGGCTCATGAACTCTGGAATAGCGTTCCTGATAATGTCAGAGGCTCGGACACACTCTTGCAGTTCAAAACTAGATTAAAGGCCTATCTTTTTATGATACATGACTGTGCTCCACTCTTCTGTGCTCACATTTATATACAATATGAACAGCAGCTACGCTAATTATTCTCTTTAATCTCTATTTTCACCTGGGGATACTCATTCTGATGCCCTCAGACTACACAGCGCCACTGATTCAATCAAAGACCAGCTTCAGTGCTTGGACTTTCAGTAGTGATTATTAACCCACACTGAACTTAAACACTGAAAACTGGACTGACGCTGTTTCAATTCACTATGATCTTCTATGCGAAGCTGCTTTGACACAATTTACATTGTAAAATGGCTGTACAAAAAAAAAAGTGTTCAAAACCCATAATAGGGGCCCTTTAACGTTACTCTGATTGGGTTTATATTGGTCAATGTGAAGCATAAATAGCACGCGTGTGCGTGTCAGAGTAGAGCTCATTAACACAACACAATCCATATATGGTCAATTATGGACCTTCTGATTCTAGGAGTATTTTATGGAGTAATAAATAAGCATAAAAACAGTTCCTGAAGATTTTTTGAACTTACCATAAACCTACTACTTTGATATCATAGAAAAACTTAACTTTTAAACCAATAAAATAGTAAAATAAATCTCATTGCTCAATATAAACACAGTAAAAGCAAATGTAATAATTTATTACATATGGTGAGGAAAATTGACTGATAGCACAAGATTTCAGACATACTTCTGCAAATGTTTCAGTCTAGCAAAAAAACCAGCAGAGCTACTGTTTTTAAAACAGATTTTGTACGATTCTCAAAGGAGGAATCAACAACTCTTTAAGAGACGGACTACTCAAATGCTTGATCGATGCTTGTTAAATGCTTTTGTTTCATAATCAAATGACCTACAGACATTTTAAATAGAATTACTGGTCAAAATGATCAGCCTAAGCACACTTCAGTTAGACTGGACTGGAGCAATAAGCGTGAAAACAACACAAACTATTTATTTTTCCCTTAAAGCAACATTTTGTGAATCAGCCTCATCCTCAGAGGCAGTCACTCTCTCTTCGTGTAGGTATTGCAGACATTGTGTGTGTTGTGAAGCTCAGGCTGGGCTCAAGTTGATGTCGTCATCTTTGTTGTCTTTGGAGGGTCTCTGGGGTCTGCGAGGCTCATCTTCTCCTGTGTCCTGCAGGTCTCGTTCAGCCTCCACCCAGCTCTGAGGAGCAATCATCCTTTTGGGGCCAAATGGAGGAGGCCCCAGTAGAGCCTCAATGTCATTGTAGTTCACCACCTCTCTCTCTAGCAGAGCATTGGCCAGCTGAACACACAACCACAGCAAACAGTAAATTTATGTCTACAACCTGTGCATAAATCAACAGCTCAACTGATTTGTAATGTATGTTGCCAGATTGAGGTAAAAAAAAAAAATACTTCGAGATTTGAATATTTAGTCAATCATATCATTTAATGTGATGAGCTTCCTACAAGATCTGGCAACTTGACAAACATGGACAAAAAAGTGATTTTTCATAAGTAGATTGGTCCATACACCTTATGGGTGTTTCCTGGAAGAAATAACAAAATGGGAGGGTGGCGGGAGATGGGTGTAAAATACGGGAGAAAAAAATCCCATTTTTCTCAGTGAAAATGGGAGTGTTGGCAGGTATACTTCTTTCCAGAATTTCCAAATTTTCTATAATAAGTGGAAGCACACATTTAGGCAGTTTTGTATAAAAACATTCATTAATTCATTCATTCATTCTCCTTCGGCTTAGTTTTATCAGGGGTCACCGCAGCGGAATAAACTGCCTGCATACAAATTTTTTAGGTAATAAAATAAAATTTAAAAAAAGAGAAGCTACACTTACTGTCTATGCAATTATTTCAGTGAATCCTTGAAATATGTAAAGGCTAAGGAGAAGCTGTTAGTGTGTAAGTAAGTAATTGTATAGATCAGCTAAAAGTTTATCTGATTCTGAACTCATGAAACTATCTTCTTCTGTTGCCGCTGATAGTCTTGTGCCTACATCCTATCCTATCCTATCCTATACCAACAAGGTCAAAAACAGCAAACATAAATCAGAAAAAAAGAACAATGTTCTTCTTAACGGCTATATTTCTTACAGCTATCACATGTAACTTTTTTGTCAGCTGCAATATGCATTATACAACGCTATTATAAATGGCATTTTGCCATTTACAAAAGGTGCAGATATCAAAATAACATATTTACAAAATAAACTACAGTATATATTTTATTTGCACCACGCTTATTTGCAATTTAAACTTAGCTGAAATGGTGGCAGATATTTTGCACCTCAGTATTAAGGCTACATTATAGAAGAGTATACAATAAATCATATTGAGGTAAAATATTTCGTCACCTTACAATTATAGGTTCTATCTGACATTTTTGTCAAAATTGAGTTATTCACATATTCTTTTTGAATGGCAACTTATTTACATTATGGGATGTGTTTTTATAAGTTGTTTACATTTTAAGGCTTTTTATTTAAAAAACAAAAAAGGTGTCTCTACAAAGTTGAACTCTAGCTTGGCTCTATAAGATTCTACCTGTGAGCCAATCAGCATTTTTAATGCATGCACGAGGCACAAGCTTTCTTTGTCATTTCACTGGACTGCTCCATTGACAGCGGGAAACACCAGAAAGACAAAATCACACAAAATCAATTAAAGTCAATTAAAGAATGCCGCACCACACAAAATTGACATGTGTGTAAATGTGATGATTTAAAAGCATTTCTTGACATTAAGATTTATTCATTCATTTTTTTTTCGACTTAGTCCCTTTTTAAATCTGGGGTCGCCACAGCAAAATGAACCGCCAACTTATCCAGCATATGTTTTACACAGCGGATGCCCTACCAGCTGCAACCCAACACTGGGAAACACCTATACACACTCAATCACACACATTCATTATGGCCAATTTTAGCTTATCCAATTCACCTGTACCGCATGTCTTTAGACTTGTGGGGGAAACCAAACCCAGAGGAAACCCACGCAAACACGAGGAGAACATGCAAACTCCACACAGAAACACCTGACCCAGCCAAGGCTCGAACCAGCGACCTTCTTGCTGTGAGGCGATCGTGCTACCCACTGCTCCACTGGGTCGCAAACGTTGAGATGAAATGCTCAATTTTACATTGTTGAAAAAGAAATTAATATTTAAAAATTTGTATATTAAAAGTGAAATATTTTTATTTTTGTATATATAGTCAGTGAAACACTTTTCTGTGTTTATTAAACTCATTTGCTCATAGTCTGTTTCTTTTAAAGTCTATACGTTTAATATTAAGCCTTAAAGACCAAGTACTTAATTTATTTCATGGAGCATATAATTCAATGAATATAATTCAATCATTTATTTAAAGCATAAAATTCAATAAATATGAACATATTAGTTAGATAAAATTAACAGCTGTACTGGAAAAAATATTTAGTACAGCCTTGTATGCTTAATTTTAAAAGAAAAAAATATTCATCCTAAAACATAAAATAAATGTTACGCAAAGCAAAATTTTAACTCTCAAGCATTAACATGTTGTTACAACACTAAACTATATATTTTTATTGTATTTTATTGTATGAAGTAATGCTTCAATGAATGATCTGCCAGATAGAACCTTAAAATTCCAAGTGGAAAATGACTTTTCAGAATGAGAAGGTTCTATCTGCATTTACCGTGGTTTATTTACTCCAATTTGCAAATGTAAGAGAACTTTGATAATTTAAATTTAGAGAACCCTTAGGATCTCTGTTATGTTAATGTATGAAATAGATCCGTTACACATGTTGTTTGCTATATAGAATGCAAAAACTTTGAAGCTCAATATCTCAAAATCATTCAGAACGCAGATAGAACCGTAGAATTCTAAGGTGATGATTTATCTGGGACATGTTGGCAAAATTGATCTCTCCTGACACCTACCTCTAACCAAAAACACCTATAAAACACCCATTGAACATTTAATTTACACTTTCAGATTGTCTGGCTACACCTTATTTTAAAGCACTCTTTTTACAGTGTAACTATTTAACTACTTAATAATATAAATAAATTTCATGTGCTTACTATTGACAACAATTAATGTAGCATAGTCACATGCAACAAACCATAAATCTAAGCTAAATTATAACTCTAACCATATAGTATGGACACCTTAACATATTAAAATATTTTTACAATATATTTTATTTAAAATAAATTCCTTTGCAATCTGCTAAGTGATGTCAAAAAAGTACAGATTCATCAAAATGAAAATGTGAATATTCTATATGACAGGACTTCCTTCTTAAAAGGAATAGCTCAACTAAAAATTAATATTTACTCTCTATTTTCTCTCCCTCAAGTGTTTCCAAAAATTTGAGTTTCATTCATCTCTTGAAAACTAAAGAAAATATTTTGGAGAAAGCTAAAAGCCTCTAAACTTTGACTTCCATAGTAGGAAAAACAAATACTATGTAAATCAATGGTTACATGTTTCCAGCTTTCTCCAAAATACTTTATTTTGTGTTCAAAAGAATAAAAGAGGCAATCAGATTTGGAAATAAGTAAAAGGTGAGTAAATAACAACAAATTTTCATTTTTGGGTGAACTATCCCTTTAAAAAAAAACAAATAAAAAAAGAGCCAGAAGATCTTACCAAAATAAGTTTGTCTCTGTTGTCCAAAAGCAGTTTCTCTGTATGCCTGTAGGCTTTTGCTATTAGCATCTTAGCTTCCTGAACAGGGGAGAAAGAAAGAAAGAAAGAAAGAAAGAAAAAAAGAAAGAAAGAAAGAAAGAAAGAAAGAAAGAAAGAAAGAAAGAATGACAAAAGGAAAAAAGAAACAAAAACAAAGGAAAAGACAGGCAGAAAAAGAAAGAAAATAAAAAAGTAAAAGAAAATGGGAGAAGAAAATGAAGCAAAAGAAAAGAAAGGGAAAAATGAAACAAATAAAAGAAAGAAAGAAAGAAAGAAAACACACACACAAGATTATTGATATTTAATGTTTAGAAAAGACTCTGCAACATCACATTACAGGGAGGTCACCCTCACCACTCCAGCAGAGCAAAAACACTCACGAGGTCCATCTGCTGCTGGAGGCCTTGGCTGAAGGGTCTTCGTCCAATGCCACTCTGATTCTCAGAGTCAGGGAATGACACCTGACCCACACTGTCAACCATCCCATACTGCTTCACCATGGAGTACGCTACACGGGTCACCTTCCGCAGGTCGTCCTGAGCACCTGAGAGAAGTTTTAGTTATCTACGGTTAAGTATGAACTGGCAAGTACGAACTAAAACCTCTACTAATAGGTGCACAATTGTTCCCAGTTAACTACTTCCTTTGAGTCAAATTATATAGTTGACCCAGTACAATTGTGGAGTCGTTTCAGTTTAACCATAAAAAGTGGAAGTTGATCAATTGTGTGTTTAAGGCCTGTAGCTGTGTAAGCATTTTAGGTTAGTTTGAAGCATTTGGATATGAATTTGCATTTTGTAGCTTTAGAAAAAAATATTTTTATTTAATTTTGTACTCAATGCAGACAACACAACTTTATTGAACATTTGATTCTTTTATTTCTGTACCTGGATACCATTAGACTCCATTAATATCATCGTAAATAACTGTATTTATCTACAGTATGCTAATTACTCTATTATATTTTCTGCAGAGAGCAGTGCGGTGGCCCAGTAGGTAGCACTGTCGCCTCAAAGCAAAAATGTAGCTGGTTTGAGCTTTGTCTGGGTCAGTTGGCATTTCTGTGTGGAGTTTGCATGTTCTCCCTGTGTTTGCGTGGGTTTCCCCCACAAGTTTAAACACATGCGGTATAGGTAAATTGGGTAAGCTAAATTGGCCATAATGTATGTGTGTAAATGGGATTGTATGGATGTTTCCCAGTGATAGGTTGCAGCTGGAAGGGCATCCGCAGGGTAAAACATATGCTGGATAAGTTGGCAGTTCAATCTGCTGTGGCGACCCCAGATTAATAAACATACTGAGCCAAAAAGAAAATGAATGAATGAATTTCTGCAAATGCAATGCTCTATAAAATCTTTGCATTCAATACAAATGTATTAATTAATTAAAAATAGAGCTAATTGTTAGTTATTTAGTGAAAGATCACAACATAAATCACAAAAAATATATACATATATTTTAACTTTATTATTTGGAGCATCATTCCTCTTGATGTTTACATTCTGCTTCATGCTGTTAGTATTCTTTCTCTCAGTTCTATTTCTTTCCCTGAGAGTGTGTTATGCAAGTGTGTAGATCAGGGGTGTCCAAACTCGGTCCTGGAGATTTTAGCTCCAACTTGCTTCAACACACCTGCAAGGATGTTTCTAGAATGCCTTGTAAGAGCTTAATTAGCTAGCCCAGGTGTGTCTGATTGGGGTTGGAAATAAACTTTGCAGGACACCGGCCCTCCAGGACCGAGACTGGACATCCCTGGTGTAGATGTCAGAGTATAGATGTCATACCTGTGGTGACCTTATTGAAGGTGATGGCCTCAGAGGCTCGTCCACCCAATGCCATGCACATCCTCTCAAACAGCTGCTCTTTAGTGAACAAAAACTGATCCCTCGGCAGGATCTGAGCAAAGCCCAAAGCAGCATTTGTCCTGGGAGCTATTGATACCTGGAGAACAGATCCAAAGACCCTCAATGCATTAGTATGTATCAATATTCATAAATACATATATATATTTTTTTTTTATTTAAACACTCATAACGGCAAGTCATTCATCACTGACCAGGCCCTGTTTACACTAATAAGTTACTGTTTTAAAATGCATACTATATATAAACATACAATAAAAATCAAAACTTGTTAGGTTATAAAGGTTATAAAAACTTATGGCATCTGAAACAAAAGTGAATTTATATCTGTTAAATGAGCATTTGATGCACTTGCTGACAGCTTTTGAGTTCTGCTGGAACTTTGATGTAGTATCAAAGACTACCAAGATACTTTTGCTATTTTCGTTATGGATTATGAGTCTAAAATAAAGGAAATGATGATGATAATAATAATAATAATAATACACATTTACACTTGGATCTGGATTCTTGTATGGCTTTTGTGCTGCCTTATACATATGCAATTGCACGGTGCATTTTTACAGTATTCTTAAGGAGCATGGCTCAGTGCTGCTTACCTTCATGACAGCTTCTGTGTGTTCTAGCAGCCATCCAACTAGAGCATGACCAGATTCATGGAAGGCTACCACCCTCTGCTCCTCCTTCGATAAGATTTTACTCTTCTTCACACTCCCTACAAGTCACACAAAATCAAACATGCAGTTGTCAAAATTCTTGATTCTTCAAAAAATGATCCTTCTGTGATTTTGGTTTACTTCTTCAAATGTTTCCCAAACTATGTTTAACAGAGCAAGACATTTTTTTTTACAGTATTTCCTATAATATTTTTTCTTCTTGAGAAAATCATATTTGTTTTATTTTGGCAAGAAAAAAAAATTTAAACCATTAAAGGTCAATATTATTAGCCCCCTTAAAAATTATATGAAGAGTTTGGTTGCGATAAAAGCTATTTTTTGACATTTGTATTTTATAATTGGAAATCATTGTTCAGATGTACCTTAATCTATGTGTGAATTGCTGCCATTCATAAGATTTAAGAATGTACATTTTTGTTTATACTGTAGGCAAGCTGATAGTCACGTAGGCTACGTCACTGATCAACAGCTGTCTGTCAGTCAGAGAATCAAAGCTTCAGAGTCAAGCTAATGTCATGGATTTCGATGAAGGATTGGATCGGTCATTCCAGCTGCTGTTGAGGAAGGCATCTAAAGAAAATCATCAAAGGGAGAAAAACAAACGAGCAAGGCATTCAGGGGTTGGAAAACATCCGAAGATTAACTGTGGTCATCGTGCGAGTCATATTGGTCGGTGTCATGCCGGCAAACTGTCAGATGAAGATGAAGCCTTCAACTTCACAAAAATGTAAAAAAAACAAAAAACAAATAAATAGTGGACCAGGATAAAATACTCCTGCTTCTGTCAACAATACACAAATGCAGCAGGGAACGAATTTCCGCTGATGTCAAGAGGAAGGCCAGGGAGCGCCTTTTTTCTTGCGCTCCTCCCCATCACAAGATACCTGTCTGCAAGGCGACATTTCTAAGTGTCCTTTGTAAGTTTATTTTTTAAATAATTTCTTACAAGTAGCTGAGTAGCCTATCTGAAGATTTATTTATGCAATTGCACCTATTTATAGCCTAAAGCCCTACATTAATTCTTGTTGTTGATTTATTATAAGGTATCATAGAGGGCACAGTTTGCTATGGAATAATAAACAGTTTTGTTTTTAAACAACAACCAATAAACTCTATAAGCCATTTTATTAATATTATTACTATTATAGTGAAATGACTCAATAAATATGACAGGGCGAGGTGAGCTTGTGTTGCAGACTTAGTGCAAAAGAGACAAGAACTTTGACACTGCGGCTCTGCCTGATCTGATCATATAGGTTTGATTTTCAGCAGTGATGTGAAAGGAGCTGCCGTCCCCTCTTCCTTCACAAGTAACAAGTTGTTTATCGAACTAACTTAATCTTACTTATAAACCAAAACTGATGTACTAGCTTTTCTTAATGGCATTATTGTAGTAGAATATAGCCTAAGGTGGATTAATAGCGTTTTGCAAAAAACTAAATTAAAAATAAAAATAAAAAGGTATGTTGTGTTGTGTACGTTCCGGCCAAAAATAACTCAGAATCTTAATATTATTAATCAAACTTTGTCTATACTGTTATACTGTTCCATATGATTTATGATGTATTGCTTTTTTAATGTTTGACAATGTTAAGATAAACAAAACAAAACTCTTCATATATATACCATCATTATACAATAATTTGCCTAACGTATAGTTAAGCCTTTAAATGTCACCTTAAGCTAAATACCAATATCTTGAAAATATCTAGTAAAATATTACCTACTGTCACCATGGTGAAGACAAAAGTAATCAGTTATTAGAAATTAGTTATTAAATTAATGTTTAGAAATGTGAAAAATATATATTCGTTAAACAGAAATTAGGGAAATAATACACTTCTGAACAAAATCTTAAGACCGGGAAAAAATTTCAAGTATTCACATTTTGCACTGGTGTATCGTAATTAGGTTGTAAGTACTGCTTTGAAAAGCCAAATGAAGACACAAATACGTCACATAAAAAACAGAGAGTAGGTAATTAAATGAAAACTGCATTTAAACTTAAACAAGCTTGAATCAGCTGACTGGACCGGACCCTTAAAAAGTTTTATTCTGTGCAAAACTGGCTTTTCCTTCGGCCTGTAACACTTTCAAGATCTCTAGATGGCAAAGGCCAAAAGACTTTTTCCTTTTGAACGTGGCAGGATTGTTGAGCTGCACAAGCAAGGGCTCTCATTGCGCGTCATTGCAGCTGAAGTTGGACACAGTAAGACAGTCATTTTTAATTTCTTAAAAGATCCTGAGCGTTATGGGACAAAAAAGTCAAGTGGTAGACCCAAAAAAACTAAGCCCGCACTGAGCCGGAGGATAAGGCAGGCTGTCCGAGAAGACACAGGCAGATCTTCAACCCAAATTAAGGCCCTTACTGATGCTGACTGCAGCCTAATAACCATAAGATGACATCTTCGAGAGAAGGGCTTAAAGAACAAAAAAAACGTCCTCAAAGGCCACGTCTTCTCCCACACCACAAACTTGCCTGTTTGGAATGTGAAAGAGAGCACCAAACATGGGGCATTGAAAAGTGGAAAAAAGTTTAGTTCTCTGACGAAAACAAATTTAACCTGGATAGTCCTGATGGCTTCCAACACTACTGGCACGACAAGGAGATTCCACAGGAGACTTCTTCACGGTACAGTGGTGGAGGCTCCATAATGATTTGGGGTGCTTTTTACTTTAATGGTAAAACTGAGCTTCAGATTGTGCAGGGGCGGGAACTGCTGCTGGTTAAGTAGACATATTGCAGCGGGCATCCCTCTTGACTGAAGGCCCTCATCTGTGCAGCAATGACTGGATCTTTTAACAAGACAATGCTGCAATTCACAACACCCACCTGACAAAACGCTTCTTCAATAAGAATAACATTGCTCTTTTGGACCATCCTGCATGCTCCTCTGATTTAAATCCCATTGAGAACATTTGGGGATGAATGGCAAAGGAAGTTTACGAAAACGGTAATTTTTTTTTTTTTTTAAACGCTAGATCCAGACAGTTGGTGACCTTCCTAAAGCCATCTTAACCACATGGAGCAATGTTACCCCCAGGCTCCTGGAAACACTTGTATCAAGCATACCGAAAAAATAGTTTGAAGTGATCAACAAGAATGGAGGAACTAGTCACTACTGAGTCACTTTTGACAATTTGAGATCCATTGTCATGTTTTTTGGCCTCTGGTCCTATTCTTTTGATCAGCTGATTTCAGCCTATTTGAGTTTAAATGCTTTTTTTAATAAATTGCTTATTCTCAGTTTTTTTGGCTTTTGCACCCGTGTCTTCTTTGGGTATTTCAAAGCAGTACTTCAAATACTACAAATCAGATTATGATCTTCCCTTCCAAAATGTGTATAACTGTAATGTTTCCCCCTGGCGGTCTTAAGATTTTGTTCTGGAGTGTAAACAGGGGGGTTAATAAATTAGGAGGGCTAATAATTGTGACCTCAACTGTATATTTCAAATCAAAAGCACACATTAATCTAGCAGCTAGAAACCTGCAATGACTCTTTCCACAGCATATTCAAAGCTGAAGGTGTCGATGGACTTGAAGCCCTCTCTGGCAGCATGAAGGGCAGCTTCATTACAGATGTTGGCAATGTCAGCACCTGGAAAAAACACAACGATGTACAAATAGTATTGTGGCAGCCAGAACATGGTATTAATGGATTACAGGATTACGTCAAACTCTCACTTACCACTGAAGCCTGGTGTCAACTCAGCCAGGCGCAGAGAATAAAAGTCTGCTGGTTGTGTGAGCTTTAGGATTTTCAGGTGCTGCTCAAAGATTTCCTTTCTCTCCTATAACACAAGAAATGCATATTTGAAAGCAAGTAGCCTGATTAAAGAGAGTTAATAGACTCTGTAATATACAGCTAATACACGTGTAGAATGACCATTACGCTTTGAGTGTGTGTTAATTTTCAATGATGCCACTTACGTCATGATTTATGCCACATCCGCTATAATGTTTTTATGTCTTTTATAATAACCAGAGCTGCCTTTATATGATCAAAATTGCAAGAAATAAAAATCTGAAAAAGATTAGCATTGTTGTGAAGTAAAAAAAATATATATATATACAGTTTCTATTAAATTATTGTATATTTAAAGATGTAATTTATTCCCATGTTGACAAAGCTGAATTGTTAGCAGCTACTATTCTCATTTTTTGTCACATGAAATTTCAGAAATCATTTTAACATGCTGTATTGATGCACAGTTATTACTGACATTTAGGGTAATATTTGGGTCTATTTATAATAAAGCTTTAATTATAGACAAAAACAAGTCATAAAAGAAAATTTTTGAAAATTTGTCCAGATCCAATTAGGTGACCTGAAATCAGGCCTGATCACACGCTTTCAGACTCTATCAGAATCGGACGTTACCTCCTGATCAGGACTGAAATATATATGTATATATTCTCATTATTTTTTAACACATCTATAGTTTTTATAGTTATGCGGTGGCACAGATTTAGACCTCTTTCTTAAATTCACACAGAAACAGCAACGTGTGCGGCATGACATCACTTTGTTGCAGAGATGCTATTGGTTAACTGCAGGCAAAGTAGAACACAGAAGCAGCTTATGTAAAAGTGAAAAGCGCGAGTAAGTCTGCAGTCTGGAGGCATTATATAGTTGATGATGACAACATTGCCATAGTAAACCGTGAGATATGTTAACTTGTGATTGCCTGCAGGGTATTTTTAGGTGATTTTTTATATTTTCTTTTTATTTACTGTTGCAATAAAGCCCAAAAGTGAAGAATTGTTGTTATTTATTGCTTGATTATTCAAGCTACCTCACAAAAGTGCTCTGTTTGTTAACAGTTGTAGAATGTTAAAATAAGGTGAATTAAATAAAAAATAAGGAAGATCCTGGATCTGTTTCTTCGCTCTTCTTTATTCTTTTTTTATGTATTATAGAAGTATCGGATCAGGTATCGGTAGATACTCAAAATCAAATGACTCAGACTCAAGTGCAAAAAAAAACTTGATGTGTGGTTTGCTAGAATAGGACAATATTGGGCAGAGATAGAACTATTTGAACATCTGGAATCTGAGGATTCAAAAATAAAGAACCTAGTTGAGAAATTTGCCTTTAAATTTGCCCAAATTATTTTCATATAACTAATCAAACCATAAGTTTATACATTTACTGTGGGAAATTGTCATGCATCTGTACCTTTTTCTATATACTAAAGAATAAACTTTCATCATGGCCTATAAAATGTATTATTGATATATATAGCTATGATAAAATATAACTATGTGACAAAAGATTGCTTGTGTGGTCCAGTGTCACATACATAAACAAGTTCTCTAATTATTTATGTTTGGGTTGAAACATAAAAGCACTTTGATTCATGATTACCTGAAGTGTTGGCAGGTCTATGAATATGTGCCTATCAAGCCTGCCTGGCCTCATGAGCGCGTTGTCCAGAATATCTGCCCGATTAGTGGAAGCCAAGACAATAACATGATCTGTTGTACCCATTCCTGAACAGCAGAGGAAATATGTAATAAATCAAATAAATAATATTAAATAAATAAAAGTATGAGAGTAATTAATAATAATATAACACTTTATTAAAGGTGCCTTTCTGGCAACTCAAGAACTCTGTATAATAAAAACAAGACCAATTAAACAACAAGAAGAACAATATTAAAATATGCACAATTAGTGTAGATACAATTAAGTATTAAAAGTCAACTTGAATAAGTGTTTATTATTTGGATCTAGACTAAAAACTCAGTGTTTGGAAGGAATAAAAACATTACAAGTATATATATATATCTAGTATTTCCAATGTTGACTAGTAGCAGCATTATCATTTAGTCGCACTTCTGTAGTTCTTACCATCCATCTCCACAAGTAGCTGGTTTAGGGTCTGCTCCTCCTCTGTGTTTGAGAAACCAGACATGTTTGTGGAGCGTTTCTTCCCCACGGCATCAATCTCATCGATGTACACAATGCAAGGAGCTCGAGCACGAGCCTCTTTAAAAAGACTTCTCACCCTTGCAGCTCCAAGGCCTGGGATCAAAGAGATTTTACAGGTTTAAATACGAGCATCTGATTATGCCATCGGAATATTTTTCTCTGTATATTAATGAGTTTTAGCACATTAATGAGCATATTAATGAGTTTCTTTGCAGATGTAGAACCCCTGTCGATCACAGTCATCCTTTTCAATGAAATGTTGACATCTATAGACAGCCATGTCTGTTGATGTAAAGCAGGGGTGCTCACCCCTGTTACTGGAGATCGACCTTCCAGCAGATTTCAGTTGCAACCCATATCAAACACACCTGCCTGTAATTATCAAGTGCTGCTTCAGGTCCTATTAATTGGTTCAGGTGTGTTTGATCAAGGTTGGAGCTGAACTTACGGAAGGTAGATCCCCAGGAACAAAGTTGAGCAGCTCTGATTTAAAGTTACGATCAGAACTGCCATTATTTTCTATGTTTTTGTTTTTTTTTTTAAGCTGAAACAATGGCTGAAATCTTTACAGCAATATGAACACTAATATGATTCATTCAGGGGTGTGTTTCCGAAAACCATCCTTAGCCAACTAAGGTCGCAAGTCGTGTCATTACAGACATAGGTTGTTAATTTGGTGTTACCCAACTTCGTCGTTCCAATAAACATTCGCAAACTGCTTCGCAAACTTCTATGCTTGCAACTTCACCTCTGGAGCTGTAGATAGAAACAGCTCCAGAGTTCCTGGTTGTGTTCTATTCCCAGTTATCCCCCTATGCCCGATTCCTCTAGAACAGGGATGGGCAAGCCTGTTCCTGGAGAGCCACCTTACTACAGATTTCAGTTGCAACCCATATCAAACACACCTGCCTGTAATTATCACGTGGTTTTAAGGTCCTAATTGATTGGTTCAGGTGTGTTTGATATGGGTAGCAATTGAAATCTGTAGGAAGGTGGCTCTCCAGGAACAGGGTTGGCCACCCCCGCTCTAGAACATCCTAACATTTAAACTTGGATTTATTTTAAAGCATTAAAATCATCACTTCTAGGTGTAATTTGCTTTCAAAGCATTTTTAAAGTTCAGTTTTAGCGATCTTCATGTTTACATTTGCGCTCATTTTGCATAGAACTTTAAAAACATTGATCTAATTTTTAACACAGCCGTGGCTCATGACGATAGCTATAGGTGACCTATTATTATAAAGCAGCATTTATGTTACTTCTCCAAAGCTTGTGAAAACAAAAAACATAGTACACATAAATTCTTTTAATTTATAGTGGGTTATTTATTCAGTAGCTGTACTGTATATGACATGGGCCTGTTTTTTAGAATATTTCGGCAGTGGTATACATGTGTCAAATTGTAAAAGTAGACTTTTAAATTTTTTTTAAATAAATAGACAATATCCTACTTAATAATAATAATAATAATAATGAGTCATCATCATCATTAATATTATTATTAAAGTAGGATTTTTTATTTCCTAATAAATAATAAATTTCATTTCTTCATAAATAGCCTTATTATTTATTTATATGACTTATATATGAGATTAGAATACGTGTTAGCTTTTGTAAGTGATTTTATGTTTTAGAATAGAATATGTAATGTTCTCGATAGTATTTGTAAAGGAAACAAAAGCCCTATATGTGCCATTTACATATATTTCAGTTAATAAGGAAAGCGAGGGCAGGTTGGTTTTTTTGTTAAATGCGTGTAAAAAATATAATTTGCACAAAGAAAATATGGGGTTCTTCTATAAAGAAGAAGTTGTTACTCCACCCCAGTTAGAGCATCATTATGGGCATCTTACCTTATAACTACTGTGGTTGAAACGATAGATCTGCTACAGAGAAACTACGGGTTTTGGGAAACACTTGTCATTATTTTCTCAAATGATGTATCGTCATATGATAGTTCAGCCGCAAGTTACGTCGTTGTTTGGGAAACGCACCCCAGGTTGGTTAAGTTTACATTTTCTTTTAGTATGCAGATTGACTAACATTTTTTGTTTGCAGCTCTGTACATACGGTACATGTTTATAATAATTTTTAATTTTAACTTTTATGTACGCACTGTAAAAAGTGAAAACTTAATTTACAACTATATGAATTAATTAGCTTTCACTTAATTTATTATAGTCTTCAATAATAAAGTTGGAAAAATGTAATTCTTTTAGGAGTAAGAAGTTGAAGTCATTTATTTAAGTAACTGTAAAAAAAATGCTGGCATCCACACAACCGATTTGTGTTTGCACCACCTGAAGGAATTATGTTAACTTATTTTTACAAATTTAAGTGGATTTACCTTAAAACAATTAAGTTGTGTCAAAACAAACTAAAGAAGTGTGTTGTCTCGACTAATTTAAATGAGTAGTTTGAGTGTACACCCTAACCAGGGGCGAGGGCTGTGAATTAGCTTAATGTTATATGCCCTATTTACACAGCATCAGTTGACTTTATATAACAATGTCAAGTGTATTGCCCCTGTTAAAAAAAGAAAACAAACAAATAAATATTTACCTCCAATCACCTCTACAAACTCTGAACCTGCCATAGCCAGAAAGGGCACCTGAGCCTCCGTTGCCACAGCCTTAGCAAGCAGAGTCTTCCCACAGCCAGGAGGTCCCAGAAGCAGAGAGCCTTTCGGAACCTTCGCCCCAAGCTGAAGGTATCGGTCTGGATTCTTCAAAATGAAAAAAAAAAGGCCTGTTCATAACGATAACTTTAAAAGGTAGCACCTTTACCAGCATCAAAATATCTTTACTTTCTTTACTGTCCACAAGTGGGAGTTTATCTTTACCACACAAACAAATCAGCGTTCACATTACACATATCACAGGAAAAAACAACACAAATACATTTCATGTCATCAGTTATATCACATTAAAAACCTCTATTTAAAAACCTATACATACTTATGACCCGGTTTTTAAAATTCTAATGGCAGTCGGCACATTTGATCCACATTTTTCAAAAACAAAAAGAGTCATATACAATCTTTTAGTTTGATTAAAGATAAATAGTCTAGGCGACACAGTGGCGAAGTAGGTAGAGCAACTGACTTAGCTGAGGTTAAAGCCTCGGCTGAGTCAGTTGGCGTTTCTGTGTGGATTTTGCTGTTCTCTCTGCGTCCGCGTGGGCTTCCTCTGAGTGCTCCAGTTTCCCCCACAAGACATGCGGTACAGGTGAATTGGGTAGGCTAAATTGTCCGTAGTGTGTGTGTGTGTGTGTGTGTGTGTGTGTGTGTGTGTGTGTGTGTGTGTGTGTGTGTGTGTGTGTGTGTGTGTGTGTGTGAATATTTCCCAAAGATGGGTTCCGCCTGAAAGGGTAAGCAGCATTAAAAATGTGCTGGATAAGTTGGCGGTTCATTCCGCTGTGGCGATCCCGGATTAATAAAGGGACTAAGCTGAGAAGAAAATAAATGAATGAATAAATACTCCAAAATTGCTGTAGAAGGCACCTTTTCAAACATTTCACTTAAAATGTTTCCAGAATAAAAATGTTCTATAAATATAATTTAAAAATACACATTCTATAAAATATGTTTTATCGTCTAAATATTCTTACACAAGTCACAAATAGGTTTTTCTTTCCTTTTCAAAAAATATGCGTGTGTAAGTCTTGAGTGTCCGATTCTACATCTCGTATGTACAACCAGGTCATGTCTACTGTTAAAATGTTAATTTTTTTTTTTCATTTCTCGCAAGACCACGGTGCCACATTAATAAACAAACATTATGAACACAATTTTGGATGTAAAAGGTATTTTAAACTATACATAACTGACATAACAGATCGGTAATCTAACTTTAGTAACTACGCATATACTATAAACATAATCTAAGACAGGGTATACATGTATTTTTACATTAGACATAACAATACTGTGATAAATATTAAAGATGATTTGTCAAAAAGAGATACTTTAAGGTTGAGGGAAACAAGTAGCGCAACATAATTTGTGGTAGATTTTTCCTATTGAGTCTTTGCAAGATGAGTTTAAGTAAAGCATATAGAAAGAGTGTTTCTACAGTTTCTTTAATAGGAGCTCTATGCACCCTTAATGAAAATTTGGAAGCGCAAGACATAAATCACATGAAACCAAGTTAGTTATTAAACAAGATTAGCAACATTCTAGCAAACATTTATATTGGTAAATGGTTTAAATGTTGCTGGTATATCAAAATCTAATTATTTAGCCACAATGTACTTTAATAATAAAATAAAAAACCTTCAAAGTATATATGCAGTTAAAAGTCGAATTAGCCCTCATCTGCATTTTGTTCTTTTTCAAATATTTCCCAAATGAACATCCTTTGCTAAGTAGTATGTACTGTCATAAACAAGTCTTCACTGACATTCAGTGTTTTCCAGCCTCCGGCGCCTAGACTGCAGCTCTGCACAAGACGTTTGGCCATAGGAGAAATAGTTGTGCCCAACTGAGTCTGGTTTCTCTGGAGGTTTTATCCTTCACTTTCGCCAATTAGTGAAGGTTTTTTTTTTTTTTTTTTTTTTTTTTTTAAATCGCCGCTGTCGCCACTGGTTAGGCTTGCATGGTTTGGGACTTGTAGAGCTGCGCATCAATGGATTTGCTCTTTAGTGTTTGGGGTCTCAGCAGTGAATATTAAACCACACTGAACTGAACTTCAACTCTGAAAACTGGACTGACACGGTTTCAATTCACTATAATCTTCTATGTGAAGCTGCTTTGAATCTACATAGTAAAAGCGCTATAGAAATATAGATTAATTGAATTTAATTGAATAAAATATCCATAACAAAAGCCTTTGGACTCTTTGAGTCCAGCCCACACAAACAAAGACAAGCCAAACTGCAGGTGTGAACTAAAACAATACTTCTATGGTTTATTGCCTTGGTGTAAACAGGCTGTAAAATTTGGCACCGTGCAATGCATCATTACTGTTGCAGTAACAACAAAAATGCTCAAGGGGGCGATTGAGTTCCTTTAAATGTCTACTACAGCTGAACCATAGATGATATAATAAAGCTTTCTTTTGCTCTGCCATGTGACTAAGACTTTAAAGAGAAAACTTATTGTAAAACACTTTATTTTACACTATTTATTTACATGTTACCTTTGCATAAAACATATGCTGGATAAGTTGGCGGGTCATTCCGCTGTGGTGACCCCAGATTAATAAAGGGACTAAGCCAAAAAGAGAATGAATAAATGAACGTTACCTTAATGATTAGGTGTAATTACAAGCAGCTCCAAAACAAAATTACACACCACTATTTATGATTACATTAAGTTTTTGCAGATGATTTTTTTATAAAGACAGACTCAGACGCTACTTATCTAATTTAGGGAAACTAAAATTGCAGAAATGTGCCTTAACAGAGGCAAAGTTACATTTACACATTACCAAACTATTTCCACAAGACATGATGCACCATTTTTAGAGGCATCTCCCTCCCCGCTGGACTCATTTAATGAAAAATTTAATGAAAAATTCTAAATCTGTTTGTCCTGCAAATAGAAACTCTAAAATGTTGTCCTGATGGAAACACCGAATACAATGGGTGATCCGGGGTACATAACCCTGAGCTCTCTATAAAACATAATTACGGTAAATTACCATTGGACCAGTTTGGTTAAAACCCAGGATCTTGCCTGCCATCTTCACAAGGCTACTCAACCAGTCTTACTTGACAGACTCGAACTACCGTACCAAGCTACAATGAAGAATTTAATAAATTGTTTGTAAAACATTGTCATGACTTTCGGTTCCGGAGCACATGGAGAAGGTTGCTTGCGTCTAAGCTCCAGCAATCCTCCAAATAATTTTAAATAATTGATCATCAGATGTAATAATTAATCGTCAAAATAGCTCTCAAGAAATTCAAGAACACCATAAGCCTTCATAATGCCAAAAAACTTGAAAAAAGAGGGCAGATTACAAGAAGAGGTCGACGACGACCACGGCAAAGCTGGTCACACAGAGGAGACGAGGCAAGCTGTCAATAAAGGTGGCACAACTTCTTCAAACAATCAAGACATTATGCACGCTATAACAGCTTTAAATGCCTCAGTTAATCGAAAAATTGAAGCCTTTGCACAAATGATTGCAGAATTGTGTATGATGCTGATAAGTCTCACAGAAAACATTTAGTCAATTAAAGAGACTTGCACAGACTACGACGTACGCCTTTCAGCAGTACAAAAGCAGTGTGCAGAATTGGTGGACGAATGGAAACGACTCAGGAAAAAAAGTGATGATCTCGAATCCCGCTCCAGGCGCAATTACATTCGACTTGTGAGAATTTCTAAAAAAGAAGAAAGCGGGAGACCCACCAAATTCATCGCGGAACTACTCCCAAAATTGCTGGGCCCAGAAAACTTCATTAAACCAGTACAGGTATATAGAGCACACAGAGCGCAGCGAAGAATGAAAGATGATCGGCTGAGAGTATTTACCATCATATTACATCACTAGCATATGGAAAATTTATCATGAAGTTGGCTAAAGAGAAATCCCTGGAATACAAAGGAACAAAAGTGCACATCTTTCCAAAACAGTGTCATCATAGAGGTACAAACTCAAAACGTTTCTCTAAGATCAACCCCTCGATATTTATTGTCAACAATTTCAATGTTCAAACCCCTTAATAGTTGTTATACTGGGGATAGGAAAAGCCTTCCTGTAATCTAACTCCATGTCTTTTGCTTTATTTATATTCAACTGGATAGAAAATCAATCACATCAGGAAGTAAATTCTTCCACAACAGGGCCATGTCCCAAATCCTGATTGTGGAGGAGACTCACGATTAGGAGTTTCAAAACTAAAAACAAGAATAATACATTTTTAACATTTATATAATCTTTACTGTGCAAATCCTATTACATCCACTTATCAGGTAAACAAAACAAGTCTTCTATATAATATAGCTACTAAAAGACAGAAAACATAACTTTACAAACTGTCTTGTAAATAAATCATAAGCGCATTTTAATATTACTGTTATTATTTCACAATAATATTAGTGAAATTAATTTAAAAACTGAATTAAAAAATTTACACAAGTAAATACATAGAGTAAATAACTAAAAATCTGCGGATTTCTGTGCGCACAGGCACAGATTCCGTTTGGGCCTAACAATCACTGAATCATAGGCGTATTTTATGATATGACAGTTCCTGTACACCAGGGGAGCTCAACCCTGTTCCTGGAGATCGACCTTTTTGCAGATTTCAGCTGCAACCCATATCAAACACACCTGCCTGTAACTATCAAGTGCTGCTCAGTTCCTAATAATTGGTTCAGGTGTGTTTAATGAGGTTTGGAGCTGAACTTTGCCGGAAGGTAGATCTTCATGAGCAGCCCTGCTGTATAGACAATCTTTAGTATACATGAACAAAAGAGGTGAGAGGCCAATAATTCCTTAGTTATTATTCTGTATTGTTTAAATGAACATGTCAAAAATATTACACTAACGACTTGTGTTGAAAAATTAAAATGCTGTTGCTTTATGACCTTTTAAATACACCAGGAAAGGTTTAAGCATGCAACTGAAATATTTCATTCCTACTCGACTCAGTCTAATCATGTTTTGGACTTTCTTACCTTGAGATAATCCACAAACTCTTTGACTTCCATCTTGGCCTCGCGCATTCCTGCCACATCTTTGAAGCTAACACCTTTCCCAGACTTCCCATCAACAATGGTGAATTTAGCCATTTTCAACTGATTCTGGTGGAAGAGGCAGATGATTTTACATCAAAATACAATCAGATTGTAATCTCTTTAAAATGCATTACACGCTCTCTCTCTCTCTTTCTGTATGTGTTTGTGTGTGTGTGTGTGTGTATTCTACTTTATCTGCTATAATTATCACAAAACTGCTTTTTATAGGACTTTTGTGGGGATATTTGGTCGTTAACATGGTTTACAAATGTTATACATTACACACTGTCAATAATGTTGATTTGCGATTACAGTAGTAAAGTTTCATCTATTTAACTCTACAATCTACTGTTACAAAAAGCTGTAAAAATGCTACAGTAAAAACCTGTTAACTGTTAAGTTAGGCAAGTTTTAATCATATTTATTTTAAATAACATTCCCAGAATTCCCTGCATAACTTTTTGAAACCACTATGTCTTTTTATAGCTTTTTTTCATTATTAGTTATGTTTATTTAGCATTTTCCACTTTATCTAATGCTAAAAATGAACGTTCATCACATGACTTCAGTGTCATTTGTTACCATATTGGTGTTTAATAGATAAATTAATGATATTGAGCAACTTTTATATACTACTATTAAAAATAATATCCACTGCCTGTGTAAAAGTTTTTTGTGATGAGCTATGAAACGACTTTCTCCTCATCATTTGGTTTTAATGGGGTTTGTCTTTATTACAAAAAGTTTCACAATGTATATGCTAATAATTCAAAATTTTGTGTATTAACATTGTATAAAATAAAATAAAATATAGTAGTTTACTGTAAACTTAGCGCTTTTTTTAGTTTATTGTACATTTTACAGTATAATTACATTTTACTGTATAATTAAAATATTACCGTTATTGAGGGAATTTAAGAAATACGATATCAGTTAACAGATTGTTTTATTTAGATCCCAACTGTCTTCATTTAATGCCCTAATAACATATTGATCCAAGTAATCTTATCTCAGTGTGAGAGCCCCTTGGAAGTTTTCAAAAGCCCCCAACTGGGCCCCGACCCCTGGTTCTGATCCAAAGACCCAAAAGTAATGTAAATGGTAATCTTGACTTACAAAGGCACTAAAGCCTCCGTCTCTCCCACCCATTCCTGCTAATCGGAAGATGTACCAGAGGATTGCAACCCCAATGGCAGCCATGCCAAGAGCATAAAGGGCACTGTGGAGGAAAATAAATTGTTATATTAAGTATAAAGGGTTATATTTTGTTATGCCACTTTTAGCTTGCCACGTTTGCATGCTCTTTGAAAAAGTACAAATTACTCACTTCCCAAAGAAGCCTGTGCGCTTGTAGGTCACTGGTATTCTGTCTTTGGCATCTATATTCAGCTCTTCCTCCGCCGCTCTAAGCTTCTCCTCAAACTTGTCAATGTTGGCCACCTGCATTCGATACATCAGGGCAAGTCTCTACAACAGACAATGAGATATTAATAATAGCGTACAACGACAATTATTTTAAAATTGCACAAGGGACTAAATGTACAGGGGGAGACACACCGGTCTGCCGAAGATGACAGCTCCAGGGTGAAGGTAGATCTCCACAATGTCACTCTCTGGGACCACCTGTACTCGCGACACCTCCCCTTTGGCCAACATTTCATTCACAAAATCGTTCCAGGATATGTTACCGCCACTGGTGTTAATAGAGTTGAGTAAGCTCATGATAACAGCGATAATAAAGAGTGTGCGCAGTCGTTCCCTGTACATCTGATCCTCCTGTTCTCGTCTCTTTTTCTCTTCTAGGGAAGAAACAACAAAAGTGAAGAATGCATAACTGATCTGGCATTAAGTTATATCTAGCATTGAGTTACTTGAGTCTGATTGGTCAACTTAGCGCATTGTTTTCCCAATACACATGATGTCATATGGATGTACCAAATTTGTGTATCATATACTGTAGGTTCTTATGTTGGTTTCTATTTAGATTAGTTTCAAAAAAAGTATAGTTGAAGCAGAAATTCTTTGTTTTGTTGAGCATAACAAACTCACCAGCCACTTTATTAGGTACACCTGTCGAACTGCTCAATAACGCAAATTTCTAATCAGCCAATCACATGGCAGCAACCCAAAGCATTTAGGCATGTATACATGATCAAGACGATCTGCTGCAGTTCAAACTGAGCATCAGAATAGGGAAGAAAAGTGATTTAAGTGACTTCAAATGTGGCATGGTTGTTTGTGCCAGACCGGCTGGTCTGAGTATTTCAGAAACTGCTGATCTACTGAGATATCTCTAGGATTTACAGAGAATGTTTCGAAAAAGAGAAAATTGCCAGTGAGCGTCAGTTCTGTAGGCGCAAAAGCCTTGTTTAATGCCAGAGGTCAGAGGAGAAGGGCCAGACTGGTTACAGCTGATAGAAAGGCAACAGTGACTAAAATAATCACTCATTAACACCAAGCTATGCAGAAGAGCATTTCTGAGTGCACAACATGTCCAACCTTGAGGTGGATGGGTTACAGCAGCAGAAGACCACACCGGGTGCCACTCCTTTCAGCTAAGAACAAAAAAACTTCGGCTACAATTCACACAGGCTCACCAAAATTGGACAAAAAAGATTGTAGAAATGTTGCCTGGTCAGATGAGCCTCGATTTCTGCTGCGACATTCGGATGGTAGCGTAAGAATTTGGCATCAACAACATGAAAGCATGGATCTATCCTGCCTTGTATCAATGGTTCAGGCTGCTGGCGTAATGGTGTGGGGGATGTTTTTTTGGCACACTTTGGGTCCATTAGTACCAGTTCAGCATCATGCTAACACCACAGTTCTTGATTATCAAGACATATTGGTACCACTGTATAATAACTACACACTATGAACCTTCTGTTTAACATTAACAAATAGTTAATTCATTATCTGTTAAGCATTAACTCTATCTAAGCAGACATTTGTAAGAGGTTTATAAATACAGCTACAAATGATGTACGGTTGACTTATAAGCACATTTAAAATGTATCATAATTGTATTTTCTTACAAATTAAGTATGACATTAAGTATTAAGTATTTCATCAAATTAAGTATTGGATTATTTACAAACCAATTTTATTCAAGAGTAGTTGGGTGGCTTTTAGAATCACTCAGAATGAGTTAGTAAACAATTAATAAATAATAAACTATTCAAACCAACATTTATTTAACTATTCAGGCATATAGTAATGGTTACTATGTTTGTTAATAAATGCTTTATTAACTCAACTTCATGCAGTTATACTAATAGTTATTTGTATGATAATAAATGCTTTATTAACTCGACTTCATCCAGTTTTGTGACCTAATCCAAAGTGAGGACTGTTTATGCTTTATAAACCCCCTATCAATGACTATTAAAGGCTTGGTATGATAATAACAGGAGTGTTAAAATGCAATTAGAAATAAATACAATTAAATAAAACTAGATAAAACAACAACAATATAATAATTTAACAATATATTATGATACAACATTCCAAAGTTATTTAGTACTGGTTAAACTAAACAATAATTTTATTTTAGTTAAGATTGCAAAGAGTCATTTTCCATTTGGTGCAGTTTCATTTGTGTAACTTTAAATTAATAAGAAATTAATAGTATTTTTTCTTTTTTTTCCTCTTTAGAAAATAATTGTGAGCCTTAAATTGTCATTTATAATGGATTTATAAAGCATAGTCCTTACTTTAGATTAAGTCACAAAACTGGATGAATATGCTGTAATAAATATTTTATTAAAGTACAAATTAACTATTAATTTATGCCTGAATAATAAGAATTATAAATGTTAATTTGAATAGTTTATTAATCATTTACTAACTCCTTTTGAATTATCCTAAAAACAGCTAACTATCCCTAAATAATAGGTTTGTAAATACAATACTTAATTCAGTAATAAACAATTAATAAGCAATAAAGTATAAAAGAACAGTTATTAAGCGCATTATAAATGTGCTTATAAGTCAACAGTAGATCATTTGTAGCTGGATTTATAAACTGCTTACTAATGTCTATTAATGTAGAGTTAATGCTAAACAGATAATGAATTCACTATTTGGTAATGCTTAATAAAAGATTCATAGTGTGTGTAGTTATTATAAAGTGTTACCAACATATTTTGTTATTTAAAAAATTGGTAGAGAGATTTAGAAAATACCTTCCTCTTCCTCAGGGGTCTTCCCTTTTCCACCCTGTTTGTTTTCATGTTTTCTGTTGGATGTGCTGAAGTAATGAGTACTGCCTGACAGGGTTAAAACATATTTCCATTATATAATGCACCAGACTGAGGTAAGGTTGGTTTTATATTTACACATTCATTCAATGACAACTTTTGACATGTTTAGATGTCTAGATTGTTTGCCATGGTACTTTGAATATTCGATTTCAAAACAACATCAGCATCTATTTACTTTACTGTGAGCAATGATGTTCTTTAATAGTCATAGACTGCTATTATGATTTCACTATATAGAATCAGCACTTTTCAGAAAGTATACTATTAAGGAGAATTCGAATGTGTGAATATAAAACCAACTTTACCAAAATATGCACCAGGATGATTTATGAACTAAACATGGAACAAGTATTAAGCTGCATAAGCAGTCGGAAGCTGCAATACCACATAGCTCAGCCAAAATATTCAAATAAACCAAGTACTTACCTAAAAGTTTCCAAAGTTTCGCTTGAGTTGTGAGCAAGTTGTGGCGACAATGGAATTCAAGTCCAATAAGCCTTGGGATTAAAGGCTTTGTCAAAATGTCCTGTGAAATAATTACAGATAGGTTTATCTTTGAAGTACCACCAAGGTCATGCATATTCATATAATAATAATAAAAACAAAAAAAACATGTGCTTTTAAGATTTCCTGCGATTATTTTATAGAATATGTCATCAAAAACTACCAACAGACATGACTTGTCACATTTAATGCACTTAAAACTGGTCACACTATGACAAGCCAATTGAGGAAAAGTTGGTTTTATATTCACACATTTGGATGTGCTCCTTGATAATATAGCTTCAGAAAAGGATTCATTGCCAATTCTAAAGTGTTCTAAAGTATTCATTGCTAATTCTCTAGTGAAATCACATTAGCAGCCAATGGGCAGCCACATTCTAAAATGCTTAATGTAAAAAAAAAAGCCTAACGTGGCTTAATGCAGCTAAACATCAACCAGAGAACACCCAAATTTCTGTCAAACTTTACTTGTAATTAACCCTAACTACTGTAAAAAGAACAAGTCACAATTCCATAGATAAAGTCAAAAACATCACAATAAGCCTTTTCTCCCCCTTTAAAGTCTGCTATAAGAAGAAAAAAAATGTGGCTTAATGGGGCTTAACAACAAGTGGAAAAATCTAATTTCTATCAAAATTTACTTTTGATTAATACTAACCACTAGCAAAAGTGTGAGCCCAATTTCCACAGCTAAAGTGAACAATATTGTGCCAAGTGTTTCCCCCTATGTTGTTGTGGGGATGTCAATGACATGCACAAGCACATTCTTCTGACAGCTAGAGTTAGGGTTAGGGTTAAAATAAAATTAGATTTTATGGACAGCCTTTTTAACATTTGGTTTCCCTCGGTTGTTGTAAAGTTACTTTAAGCCTTTGCTTATTATGGACTTCAATGGGGATAAAAAGTTTAACGTGATATTGTTGACTTCATCTAAACAATTAGGGCTCTTTTGACAATAGTTAGTGTTAATCACAAGTAAGGTTTGACAGAAATTCAGGTTTCTCTGATTAGTGTTAAGGTACGTTAAGCCACATTAAGACTTCTATATGGAGAATGCCTAAAGTGATATTGTTCACTTGATACACTAAAATAAAAGCTTGTTCTTCTAACAGCAGAAAGCGTTTATGAGTATATTTTTATAGATATTTAATCATCTCCAGATGTTAAATTAAACAATATTAAGCTCTTATAAAGGACTTAAATGGGGACATTGTTCACTCTATCCACGGAATCAGGTCTTGATAGTAGTCAGCGTTAATCACAAGTAAAAATTTTATAGATTTTCGGTTTGCTTCACTTGTTGAGGTACATGTTAAGCTTTTTTTCATTTTAAAATAGACTTAAAATGCTTAACGTGACATTTTCAGTCACTAAAATTAGACCTCATTCTTTTGACAACAGAAAGTGTTTGTCAAGAGTAAAATTTTTTAGAAATCTGGTTTTCCCTGCTTGTTGTTAACATACATTAAGCCATGTTAACCATATACTAGACTTCAATGGGGAGAAAATGTTTATTGTGATAAAGAATGAGACAATAACCATTTTTGAGATATATAGCGGTTTGTCAAGGTTTCAAAACAGTCAAAATTTTCTGTTATACCCGTTCCTAAGGTATGAGTAAGATTTATTAACTTTTATTTAGTTTTTTAGGACAACAGTATCTCCAGCAGAAAAGATCTTCAGGTCTCTCAAGATCAAATAAACAATCATCTTTGCAATCTTATCTAAAAAGTAAAATTAATGTAAAACATTGCCAAATAACAGGAGTGTCAAAATACAAAATAAAATTAGATAAAAATAAACAACAACAATATAATAATTTAACAATATAATAAGATGCAATGTTTAAACTATACAGTGATTTTATTTTAGATAAGATTGCAAAAATGTATTTTTTATTTGAAGTACAGTTTCATTTATGTATCTTTAAATAAATAGAAATTAATAATGTCGTTAATGTCATTTTTCCTGTTTAGAATTTAACTGAGCCTTGAATTGTTATTTATAAGGGATTTATAAGGCATAAATAGTCCTCACTTTAGATTAGGTCACAATACTGCATGAAGTTGAGTTAATAAAGTATTTATTAACATACATAGTAACCATTAATACATGTCTGAATAATAAGAATTATAAATGTTAATTTGAATAGTTTATTAATCATTTAATAACTCATTCTGAATTATATTAAAAACCTCCAATTACTCTTAAACACAAATGGTTTGTAAATGATACAATACTTAATTTAGTAATGAAAAATAAATCATGTAAGTCAAGAATAGAGTATTTGTGGCTGCAGTTATAAATTGCTTACTAACGTTTATTAATGTAGAGTTGATGCTTAACAGATGATGCATTCACTAGATTCTAATGCTTAATAAATGATTTATAGTGTGTAGTAGTTTTTATAAAGTGTTACCAATATTTTACATGTTTCTTAAAATAAAATATATTGTGTTCAAAAAGGGGGAAAAGTTTTTGTTTTTACCCAGACATTTAAAAAATATATATTTTTAGAGAAGCAAACACAATACTGTGAAACTTTGATATTTTTATCCAAGGTTATCATGTACCGTCAGAATCTTATACAGGCCCATGCCTAATTGTGATGTTTTTTACTTTATCTATGGATTTGGGACTTGTTGTTTTTACAGAAGCTAGGGTTAATTACAAGTAAAGTTTGACAGAAATTTGGGTTCTTTTAGTTGATGTTTAGGTACATTAAACCACATAAAGTTTTTTTTCTCACTTTAAGCATTTTAGAACGTCCCCAGCCAATGACTATAAACGTAACCATTGTTCAGTCTAATAAATAGTAATAATAATGTTTTGAAATTTTATTTACGACTGATTTCATACCGAATATTGAAAGTAAGTTATCATGGTGAATTATCTAACCAACTTTACCTCAATGACAAGCCAGGCCTCTTTGCTGTAAATTAGTTAACAAAAATATTTAAATGACCAACCTGAAAGTGTCCTGAGTTTAGCCCTCGTGTCTTTGGAATCACTAAAGGCGTCACATTGCTCTTTATTAGCTTTCTACTGTTCTGAAAACAGCTAAAACGAGACGACAGCGACCAAAACCGTTTGCTATAACATGTGTTTCCACGCTGCAGAAGTAGCGCTGCCATGTTAAAAACCGATGTATCGATTCGCTTGGATCTAAGACATGCTATGCAAGAATAAAGACCACTCTTAAACCTGACCTCTTTCAGGAGCTGCTTTCACAGAGCTGTCATAGTGGTTATGTAGCAGGTCTTATCAAACGCAGACAAATTTAAGGTTATCGGTTAATAACATGCACGTCTTCTGTTTGGATATACCCGATTAAATCAAACGTTGAAATAAACCGAAACTTCCTTACATTATACAGTTAGAGGGACATTACAAGTCTATAGTGACTACTAAAACCGTGAACTCTTATGTTGTTTACCGCATAGGCTTGAGAAACATGTCTGCTGAACTTTCACCTTTAGAATCATCCAATCGCGGATCAAAACAGCTCTTGCGCTGGCTAATGGGAAATGCAGTTCTGCTTGAAATTTTATAACCAAAAAACTACAAATAATTCAAACTGGGCATGCGCAAAGATTTTATTTTATTTTTTATTAGTTTCAAAAACAGTTAACAATAGATTGCAGAAACTTTGAACATGAGAAAAAAATACGGAGATGGTGTTACAATCTGCATAATACATTTTAAAGAAGAGAGAAAGAAAAACAATAAACATAAATGAAAGAAAGAAAGAAAGAAAGAAATAAAGAAAGAAAGAAAGAAAGAAAGAAAGAAAGAAAGAAAGAAAGAAAGAAAGAAAGAAAACTATAAGGTTATACACTAAAAGCGATTTTTGAATTTTAAAATATTTTATAGCATTTTATGCCCATTAAAGACAAAATATATGACTTATAGTCAATTAAAAAATAGCCAGAATTGGAGTATTTTCCAAAAATACTTTTAAATAAAAAAATTACTCATTTTAATAAAAAGATTAACAACGTACTAAATGTAAGATTTAGAGTTGTAATAAAAAAATGATGTCAAAAGTATTAAAACAAATTTCTAAATTTGTCCTTTCTGAGAGATAGATATATCCTAGTTTGGGTATCTTTGCTCTAGATTATGGAAAGTGATTCATGCTGATTTCAATTAAATGTTGAGCATCTGTATTTATTTATGATTTTAAGAAGTCTAAAGCAAATTTTAAAAGTGGGGTATTTGTTGAATTTTATTTTTCGTTTAGACAAAGATGTTTATTTACTTAGGCAGAAGATTTATTTCTGTAAACTGCAACACCCAAAACATTAAGGTAACACAACCCATTTAGGAAACAAATTGCAACAAACCATTTACGTTCAAAAACTAATAATAATAATTACTGTGAACTTAATCCATTTGTGTAAATAGATCAATTTCAGCACAGTAAAATCTGATAAAGGGAACTCAAACCAACTGAGTGCTGTAAAACATAATAAGTTTAGAGAACTCAAACCGTTTAAAAAATAATATGCGAGTACTGTGAACTTACTCCATTTAAATTGAAGTAATGAGGTATTTAATTAACTTATTACCTTTAACACAAATTCAAAACTCTTTTCAAGTGAGTAGAATTACCTTTCAGTCAATTTTGAATTAACTACACTCATTTCATTTGATAAAGTTGACTGTTGAGTTTTACAGTATGTGTGTAACATTGTGGCTGTCTTTTAACAAGAATTATATGTGATTTTTCTTTTTCTATGAAAAATGCATTAGAGTTTGAAATTATTTGTTTTTCAGTAGAACACTGTAAAGTAAAATAAACAAACAAATAATAATAATATTTACCAAATAACCTAACAATAAATAATTACAATAGTTTTAATGTACAACAATCTGCATTAAAGTTCTCAACAAAAAAACAATCTTATTATCTTATTATGAAAAATGTTTCATGCTTTTTAAACTTTTTTTGTGTTGTTAAATGAACTTGATGGGCTACTTCTACAAATCAAATCAAATCACTTTTATAGTCACATCATCAGCAGCACATGTGCTATGATGAGTGGAAAGCTTAGGTGCTGGCTCCAGACAGTGCAAAATACAGACAGTGCAAATACAACGACAGTGCAAAATACAGACAGTGCAAATACAACGACAGTGCAAATACAACGACAGTGCAAAATACAGAGAGTGCAAATACAACAACAGTGCAAAATACAGACAGTGCAAATACAACGACAGTGCAAATACAATGACAGTGCAAAATACAGACAGTGCAAATACAACGACAGTGCAAAATACAGACAGTGCAAATACAACCACAGTGCAAATACAACGACAGTGCAAAATACAGACAGTGCAAATACAACGACAGTGCAAAATACAGACAGTGCAAATACAACGACAGTACAAATACAACGACAGTGTAAAATACACAGTGCAAAAAAAATGACAGTGCAAAATACGGACAGTGCAAATAAAATGGCAGTGCAAAATACAGACAGTGTAACATACAGACAGTACAAATACTACGATTATGCAAAATACAACAGCATACTCCCAAAAAAACAGGACAATGTAAAATTGTCAGCGATATGTACAATGAATAGTTGTCCACATAGTAGTAGGCAGTATTGTTTCTAGTATGGATTGGTTAAAGTGCAGTGCATGCTGCACTTTGACCAATCCAAGAGATATTAATTTTGTGTTCTAAATGTAGGCATGACACAAGGTTTATTTCTCATTTACTGAATGCTGGATGAAGCTGTTTTATTTAAATCAGCAGGAAAGACAGAAGAAGAAAAAAAACACTTGTTAAATTGCTGTTTTTTTATATTTATTAATAAAACTGAGAGTGAGTTTATAAAACCATGAATGATTTCTAAGTGATTTGTTGCAGTTGAAAAGCATTGGTTATGATAGTTTTTAGATGTTTTTTTAACCTTAAAACACTTTTTAACATGCAAATTATTCTTTTTATTGACACTTAATTATTCATTCATTCATTTTCATTTAGCTTAGTTCCTTTATTCATCAGGGGTTGCCCCAGCGAAATGAACCGCCAACTCATCCAGCATAAGTTTTGCACAGCAAATGCCCTTCCAACTGCAACCCAGTACTGGGCAACATCCATACACACTCGTTTACACACAAATTCATACACTACGGCCAATTTTGTTTATTCAATTCACCTATAGCACGTCTTTGGACTGTGGTGGAAACCGGTGTCCTGACATTCACCCATCAGATTATGCTATACCAACACTGTATTTGAATGGTTCTGAGGTTGTGGTTAGGGATTAGTGCGATAGTACAGCTTCATATTACACTACTCCACATTAAAATTTACACTGGTAGCAAAATCTGATGGGTAGAATATTGCATCATCAAAATAACTTTTTGAATGGGAGGTACGACAATCTGATATAGGAAAAATCATCAGAATACCAGAGCACACAGAGGAAACACAAATAAATATATGTAGATAGATATAATATAATAATATATTGAATATTAATGTGATATATTGAATAATATGATGTATTGTTGATATTTTATTTAATTATATATAAATATAATCTTTTTTTTTTTTTTTTTGCTACTACTACTATTTACTGTGTGTACTGTTTTTTTGTATACATGTATGTTACTTTATAACTGCTTTGGCAATACATTTGTAACAATTGTCATGCCAATAAAGCAATTATTGAATTGAATTGAGAGAGAGAGAGAGAGAGAGAGAGAGAGAGAGAGAGAGAGAGAGAGAGAGAGAGAGAAGCTGTAAAGAAGAGAAGATGTAAAGAAGCAATGCCATTACATGGTCATCTTCCTCCAGGCTTGAAATTAAAATCAAAGAATACTTTTATAAATATATATATTTTTTTATTTATATAGAACGAACTAATAAATAAACAGATCAAATCACAAAGTCCATAAAATGTAACTAATCTGATAAAGAGCATTTTAAAGTGCAATATTATCTAATTATGTTTACCTAACTTTGGAATTAGATTACGTAAACCAGATTATAGGTAATCAGTTACTACCTGGCATGGATTATGGCACGGATGTTGGGATTATGTCAGAGAGTACAGTTCCTATCTCTTTACAACAGAGGGAGCTCTTGCGTTATTCTGCTCCGCGGAAATCGGTGTCACAAGCCTAGCTTGCGGCTCGTGACGTCAAAAGCGAAATTAAAAGCAAAATCTACAGCAGCACGTACACCAAACAAACAATAGTCAGTGGAAGCATGCTGTGCTTTAGCTGATGAACTCGCGATCCATCATCGGCAAAATGTTAAATTCTTAAAAAAAACGGTGGATAAGATAAATGGCTGCAATAAACGACCTTTTAGCTCAGCTAAAATAAAGATGGGAGAATTCGACATCTATGTTCACGCGGTACCCTTAAAACCACACTCGGTCAACTTTCCTCATAAACCAACATAGGTTCTCCATTTTCCTCTCAACCAAATAGAGCTCGCAAAAATATGCCACCGTGCCCGCCATTACGGCTCGAAACCGCCAGAGAAAACGATGTGGAAGCCTCCTTCGGAAGAGCCACAATGGCGCCAGTTGCACCGTTGCAACGGGGAACAACAGTGACCGCCCATACGCGTCAGCCTATCACATTCCGCGTATGAACTCCCCGCGTCCGCTTTTCGTTGCGCGAGTCAAAGGCCGATCGCAACGGTTCGGAAGGAGTCGGACGTGGAGGATTAACTTGAAGCGGAATTTTATTTTTGCACCTCAAATAAAGCCAAACCTGCTAGCTTAAGGTTACTGAGACCCGTTGACTTATAATGGGACGAATGGAGAATTTATAACCTCTTCTCTTACCAGTCTATCGGAGCTCTGAGAGATTTTAATCACCATCGCATTTTGGAGGAGGTAATCAGCGATTAGCTTAGCACGCTGGCGCGAGCGCGGACTGAAATGAGCGTCGCGCGCCTCGGATGTTCCCGCATCGGAGTTTGCTGAAGCAGAAGGCCTCAAATGGGAAAAACAAGCATCGGGAGGGAATACCAAGTATAATTTTGTAGATGTAGCTCACGTTTTGGAGTAGGTAAGCATTTGTAAATCCCTCTTCGCTTTTTAAGAATCATTTTCGAGTCGGAAAAACCCATGCACGTCCATCCAGGCGTCGACTTTCACGGTTAGCCCGCTAACGGCTTTAGCCCCGTTGCTAACGGGAGTTTGTTTCCCTCCCCCACCCTGAAGTCGAGGAAATGTTGGCGTATTGCTGAATATTTTTGTTATTTAAGGCAAAATTTTGCGCATTTCTTCCTCCCTATGTTTAGCGTGGGTCTACAGTTGGTAGTGTTTATAAGAAATGGAGGTGAGCGTGTGAAGCTACAGAAATGAAAATAATCCTCGTCATGTTGTCGTTCTCTCTCTCTCTCTGGGAATCGGATATGACCAGACGGGCTCAGCTGCCCTGCAGAAATCAGCCACTGGGATGGGCAGCCTAATATATGTATGTTTCAAGGGCACTCGTGAGAGACTGCACGTTGATTTTTATGTGCTGGAGTAGTTGCTGGGATTAAGAGATCCAGAATAAATAACAATTTGAGTTGGGTTATCAGTGCACCATTCACATTATAAATATTAGATCACTGCAACACTGTTATGATGGTAAAATATGTTTTATGAGGTTAGATTTTATATAATGGCAGGCAGTGTTCATTCAGATTTGTTTTGGCTTTCAATTGGGACCTTTTATAATGTGGCTTGCATGGGAAAACACGTATTTTCAGAATATAAGACATGAGTGCTTATTAAAGCTGTTCCTATGCAAGAGTTGGCCTGGTTCACTATACAAGGAACTGCTTTCTCAATGCGCGCTTAGTTAATGTTGATTGGATAAAATGCAGTGTTGGATTTGTCCTGAAAACACATTTTGTGAAGGCTGCATGTGGATGTGACTAGTTACTTGTTTAGATGTTATGTGCTGTGATTGTTTACTTGAGAAAGGAGTTGCTTTGAAGCAAGGCCTTTGCAATACTAGATTAGATGCGATCTGAAATGTAGAGAGAGAGAAAATGTGTGAAAGTTTGTGATGAAGTAAACAGAGCTGGTGCAGTGGAAGAACACTGCGGCGGTGTTGGGGCGTTAGCACACTCTCTCTCTCCCTTTCCACATACTCTGCTGCTACTTTACATCCCTCCCTTTCCTCACTTTTGTTTATTTCTACCCAGCACAACTTATACGCAGGAGTGTTGCAACACACTCTTCCTGTTTCAGCTCTTGTAGACTTTTCCAGAAGGAGGTTTAAGATCACTAATCAGGATTTAGCTGAAGTATGATGATCTGTAGGTGTTCGTTTGAGGTTGTCAGGCCTGTTTGTCTGCCCCATTCTTGTGCTGTGTGAGTTGTGCTCATTGTTTGGTGGATAGGGGAAATGGGCTTTGCTTGGGGTGTGGGGTCAGGAATGCTGTTACTGAGATTTTCTGAAAGCCTTCCCTTTCATTGACGGCAGTCATACTCAACCTTAATTATTTGCTCTCTCTGTGCACCCTTTTGAGTGCTATTTCTGTGCAGTTGACTCAGAATATCGTGTCTTCAACACTTTGAGTGCCTTAAGGGTGCAGAGCAAATGTTACTTAAGCCATGACTGTGCTGTTATAAATGTCAGCAGTTTTGGCGTGAAAGGATTTTTGTAGGTTTGAAGAAATAACATGTTTTGCTTGGTCATCATGAGAATTATGACATTTATTTTTGACTGGGGATGCCTTTTTTGTCTTAATTTTTTTTTTGCAAAAAATTTTAGCAATTGTTGGAGTACGTTGGCCTAGTTGGTGATTTTAGGATCCCCACACCAATGGAAAATCTTAAAAATATCAATGTTGTTGTGGTCTTATCTTAAGGCTGATTTATACTTCTGTGTGAAGCGCACACGTATAGTTCGATATAGCTGCATAGCCCTCGCTGTGGCTGATGTGCACCGCTTAAAAAATGTAACCACACGTCGCTACAACGCGAAGCGCAAGCTCCGTGATTGGTCAGCTTTGTAGCTATGAGGAGTGTGGGCAGCGCTGAGAGTTACTAGCTTGATTGTTTACATGTGTCTAGTTCTCTGAAGGAGCTCCAGATGGAAACTTTTGTTTTTTTGTTTACCTTATAATTAAAGTTGTTGCATGTTTGTCGGTTCCCGCCTCTGAATGAACGAGTTTTAGCTATTTAAAGTGTGCAGAAAAAACAATACACCCATGAGGAAACTACACTGAGGAACATAAAAGCCTACTGCGAGCGCTTCGGAAGTGTTTTTGCAGAGCAACACAAACAGCACGAAGAAGTATAAATTCATGACTACCCACATGGCAGACGCGGTGGGCCACGCCGATCTCTCCACGCAGAAGTATCAATCAGCCTTTATGCTGATTTTTCAAATAGCATTGCATAAACTTTCAGTGTTCTGAATGCAAATGGAGACCAGATATGCGTTACTGTTTCTACCAGGTATTAACATTAATCAAATAAATGAGACTGTTGCTCCAAGTCAACACTTGAAACAAATAACAGTGTTTTGACTTAAGCAAACCTTTTCGCCTGTTTTTTTTTTTTTTTTTTTTTTCATGAACCTAGCATAGAAACATGCTAGGAAACATGATGAAATCGCAGAGTTACTACTAACAGACTTTCCACAGGTTAGTAGTAAGCTAATGTAATTTTAATAGCATAATGCAAATCTTGCATTCATGCTAACAAACAAATAAACAAAATAAATATATTAATGCAATTCAAATATGTAAAATATAAATTGATGTTTACTTTTAACTTATTATAAATATATGATTATGATATTATGATTTTTTTTTTTGTCATAATTTTGTGGCTAAAAAGTATCTATTCAGGCATTGTTTTGTCACCGGTACCATTTTAAAAGTATTGATTTAGCAATGGTAAGGAAATAACCCCAAACAATACCCAATCCTATTCATAATGAACATGGAGAGTTGCGCATTTTTTTCTATAGCTCCAATAAATGACTCCTAACAGCGTGAGTGCTGGAAGAATAAGGACAAACATTTACGATGTTGGTGACAGTATTTAAACTACTCTATCCCATGTAATGCAAGAGAAAATCAGAATGACAAATATTTGATTTTACCAATGATAATGGTCTTTTTCTATGAAGTCAATGACAGTGCAAATATATGTATCTAACAAAAATAATGATTCAACTTCAGAAATATGAATAACTGTATTCTAATGTCATCAATGTTCTGTCCATTGATGACCAAGGCTAATTCTAATCAAGTCCACGCGCATTGATCTTATTCTTATGTATGGACGAGCGGAGCACAGCCATTGGAATCTTTTTGGCACGGCGCTACCTTTTACTCAATTGCAAAAATCATAGACAGCTGTAGATGTTTGCATTTAATTTTGGTAATCATAGTTTGCTGTAAGATTTAATAGTGTCAAATAGCAATAGCCTTGTGGATGGACACTGACATTGTGCATTACATGTAACTCCCATGTTTATGTTTTAACTCCCATGTTTCCCAGTATAATGTTGCACTGGAGATCACCAACCTCCAACATGCTTGTAAGAACAGTACATAATCAATAAATACTTGTCTTTTGTTGAAAATGTGTACAGATGTGGTTTGCGTGTTTGAAGAATTATTGCTTATTGGGCTGAGCAGAATTGTAGTCAAAATAATGCTCATTGTAGCATATAAAAAGTAATATTTACTGATTTTGGAAATCATTCAGTTTCACACTTCCAATGTTCATTCTTTTTGCATGATTTAATTGGTTCACTACTACACATCTTTTAAATTGATACAGAAGCCACAGTAGCAATACTTGTACCGGCATTGGGAGGGTATCAATAAATGCTTACATCACAGATGTAGTATTGCAATATTAATAGATTTGTTAAGTTATTAAAAGATTGGCACCTTGCAGAAAAAAAATCTCATACTGTAATCACACATTATTTGTAGATTCGAAGAAGCTTTGTAGATGTGATTATGAAGGGCCATCTGGGAGCTTAATGTGTACTTAAAGTTGAATTTATTTTTTAAATGCTGCCATTGTCATGCCCGTCTAAACACAAATATAAGATTACAAAGTAATTTTTTTTTTACATTTTGTTCAGATGGTGCTGAACTGTTGTTTGTATATCTTATTATTTTGATTAATAAATAATATTTAATATTGAAGATCCTTTTGATTATTAATCCAACTTGTAATCAGGCGGTGCATTGAAAATCTCCATCAGTATAATTTCATGTCATTGTGAACTTTATTTTTTATATAAATACAGAGGAAGCTCTTATGGGAGAACTTTAGTAGGCCAAAATGCGATCAAGTGATATATATAGTATTAGCTTAAAATATACTGTTAAACATACTTTAACATGACTTGCCCTCTGGAGTTCTTGACAGATGCATTTCTTATGTAAATGAAATCAATAGGAATGCAGATTTCAGAATCTTTTCAACCCCCCTCTGTGGTGTTTTCTGCTGCGTCTTCTGTGTTTACATCACCTGTCTTAGTTTAGTGAGTTTGGTGTCACTTGCAGTGGTCTGTGGTCAAACGCAGTGCTCTGTGTGTAGTTAAATGGACTATGTAAAGCCTTAAGGCCAATTCACAAGGCACAGACAAACATCAACAACAAGTCTGTTGGAGTTTGTTAGATAAGAGGTTTACCCATGCCCTGTCTGCATCTGTTGTCATTGGGGTTTTTTTTCACCTGACTAAACGTGTTCAATCAAAGTTTATTGGGTCATGGAATGTCTGAGCATTGGAATATGTTTTTTTTCCAACAAACAGCAACGAACTGGGACTGGGTCTGTCCAGGGACCAGGCTGATCTAAATGTCTTTAGTCCTGGAAAGTATTAATTATTATTATTATTTTTTATATAAATTTTTATTATTTATTGTGAGTGGCAATTGTTGGGGCAGGTGTGAACATTTCACAACATTATATGTAATGTTTTATCTATATTGAGATAGCCATGAAATAGCCAAGAGTAGCTGATGTTGTAAAAAGTAAACAAACCTGAAGCTTACTGGCCTCTATTTTTAGATTTTAGTTACATGATTTAAT